AATGCCACTTGACCATTTCGTGTCTGCTGTTCGAAACAACCGACCCAAGAAATGTCTTCGGCAAGCAGAGGTAATTAAAAAGCTGTTTGTGCTTGGCGATGTTACGTAAATTCGTACGAAAAGTAAATGAAACGGAAGCCGCACGAAATTTCGATAGTTTACGATTTCGTAGGGTTTAGATGTTAGCGATAATTCGAGTAATTTCGAGCAACGCTCGGATAAGATCGCGGCTGGCAGAGACAGAACGCGTATAAAAAATTCGATCGGCAAATTTAATCGTGCCGTTTTGAATTTAACTTTGGAAACCGAAGCGGTCTGGACGATTGGTTTCTCCAAACGCCACCGTCGGCCGTCGCCGCTGCGAACAAGTATGTATGTATTACAGCGAGTGACATCGGCCGTGATACAGTGCCGAGAACAGAGTTCATTGCTCCGTTAAAGAAGGCGGGTGTAGTGGCCCCGACTGGCGATTCTGGGTTTATTACCTCTGCCCGATCGCAAATACGTCGTCGTGTTTTTGCTCCGTAAGATACGGTACACTTTTCGAACGAAACGATCGCTAAGAATCGCGATACGTACCTTAATTCGATATCGCGTAACTTTCGAATTCCCTTCCTGTAGCTATTCTACGGTTACAGTGTTCCCTTGTAACTTCAACCGATCTTTCTGCTTTCTGGCCTATTTTTACACGATACTATCGACCACCAAAGTCTCGAAGCTACGAAATCTGTTCATTAGAAATGACTGAGCTTAATCTTTATGTTTTTGGGCTTAGGGAAACAAAGAATTCAAAGTACATTAGTAACAATGAAAATCGGAAGCTATGCAATGGCGGCGATGTCCCGAAGGATGATCGGTAGTTGTTGGTGGCGGTGATAATGGCGGTGGTGGTGGTAGTGGGTGGTGGTAGTAGTAATAATAGGAATAGTAGTAGCACTACTAGTAATAGTAGCGGTGATGGTGTTATAAATACATGTGTATTATACCGGTGTGGCGCGATGTGGCGCGGCTCGACACGACGTCCGCAGCCGTGGTTATGCTGTTCAAAATTTGGAGGGGATGGAGGACACTTTCACTCTCACAGGTGTATGACCGCGTCGGGAGTTGGAACTACTTGTTACCTGAACGAAAGATACGCAAAGGAAGATAGACGGAGACCGCGAAAGAGGGATGTTGTGGAAGAGGAGGGGCTTGGAGAGGGGGATGGTGGGGAATTGTATGAGGGAGCACGACAAAAAAGTAGGATGCATAAAAATTCATCGAATACTTCGTCTCGACAATCTTTTTTCGAACGCCGAGCTAAATGTAGAAAAAGAGTTTGGAAGGGTTAAAGAAGGGGAAGTGACGAAAAAATACGATAAGGTGGAGCAGAAGAAAAAAAAAAAAGAAGGAGAAAGACAACAGAGCGGAGGGGAAATGGAACGACAAGGTAGAAAGACAACGGAAGTATATATATTTAGTACAATTGTACGGTGGTTCACAAAACGGAACGCACCGCACGCATGATCCGCTAGATAACGGCCCAGCAATCGCATATTTAGTATCTACCAGTCAGTGTGCATTCTTCTTCGACCGATTGTTTCGACGTTGTCAAGCTTACTGAGTGAGTATATACTTACTTAATTAACACTTACTTTTCGTTGCATATTCAGGTATTTAATCTTTATTTGTTACCTACTTGACGCCGCGTCCACGTCATCGGGATGGAATATTCGCGTAGATCGTTGAAATCACCGAAGCGATCACCGAATAGAATCGTTGCCACGAGCGAAATACTTCTAACGTTATCGTTTTCAAATACGAACGTATGTATGTATGTACTGGGATAGAAAGTAAAGGGGGATAGCAGGAAAAGGACGAGAAGAAACGCGTCGGCGCGTACACACGGGGATAGAGACAGAAATACAGGTGGAGAAAGAGGCAGGACGGGTCCGGAGGAGACTGATCGAGGGTCACTGAACCGCGAAAGAACATCGTTTTTTGGTCAATGTACGCACTACCGAAATACATTCTCGTCTCAAGGCTTGAGACGGTCCCCATACTTCCAACTGGTTCCAGTGGGTCAGTGGTTCACGAGGGACCAACCAGAGCAGTGTACATACTTCAGAATCATATATACACTTACGAATATTCGATAGTCGCGGCATATTTCTTGCATCGAATTTATCGATTCTGCATGAAGTATAAATGACAAAAGAAAAAAAGAAATTGTCGAACAATGCATCTACATACTTAGTCACGTGTGTTTCTTTATCGTCTATGAAGCTTCACGATCGTTTCACCCTGTGTTAGACGATGGCCAAGTTCGAGAAGCTTATCGAACCTTTTTTTACCGCGAGTGACGAAACAATATGCTATTTTCACGAAGAACAGGACGATAGGAGCTTGATATTAATCGTAAAAAAAAGAAAAACGAGAGAAAGAGTATGCAAGAGCTAGTAGGTACTCGTGTAAATGTGAGATCATTGTAATGAACGTGAAACAACCATTCTTCTCGATTGCGGTTCCAACAGGTCCGGTTAGAATTTAGGCTACGTGGAGCACCTACCCGAATCTGGAACAGACTGTCAGGGTCGTTGACCTTACTTTCGGTGCTGTTTGGGAGAAGATTTTTTTGACTGCAACGTCTTTTTTTTACAATTTATTTATAAGCACGTGAAATTTCTCGAAATGAACCTTGTTGTTCCGGTAAAACTAGCTGTTCATCGGTGAACAGATAATTATCGTTAACATTGCAACGATTTAATGATAAAATTTTCTTTTGCTTTCCGTGGAAACAAATATGATGCTAATGGTATCGTACAGTAATCGAGAAAAGATGTAAAAAAATGCGAGACTCGAAGCGAAAGGCTCGAAACGATTTCGAGATGATATTGTGTCCGTGTACTGAATTACGTGGCCGACTACCGAATCATTTTGACCTACATATTCGATACGAACCAATATCGTTGTCGTCACGAGCGTCTGGAACCGATAAATTATAGATTCGTATAAAGTTTCGTAAATTCCTTAGTAAAGAGACAGTACTTATGCAGCCGTTTACGCAGCGTATCACGATCGAGTGTAACGTTCCGTCTGACAACAACGAGTGAATGAAAGGAAGTTTATTTATCAAGCTGTTGTTGCGATAACAGGAGCCCACTTTTTAGTACAACAAGCACAACGCGTACGAATAGATAAGCTGGATGAAAGGCTAATAAGTGGGCATTCGCATCGTAATCTCTGGATCATTGTTATTCTATGAATTTGCATCGACTCGATGGAAATCATGCTATGGTACACAATTAACGACCTCGAAAACAATTCGGATATTGGATCTTGGGAACAAGAATTAGGTCTGTTGAAATGCGAAACGTGAACGGCCATCGATCGTTTGTCTACGTAAAAACAGTAATTTTTCCAGAATCGACGGAAATCGTAGTGCCCGCAATTCGACTATCAGTTAGTACAGCCAAGTTTTGTCAAGTAACACACGTACGATAACAGGATACGTGAAATGGATGTTAAATGTTTCCCCACACAAGTGGTTCTATGTGTATATAACGATTCGATGGGTGTTTCGTTTCTTGGACATTCGTGCTGTTCGGTGGAAAGGTCCTATTCTCTGCGATTGTTGCGTAAACGATGAAGCCTACGATTATTGGTGAAAATGTCGCATTAATACGGATAATAGGATTGTCGTTGGTCATTTCCACGATGGAAATTGGTGCAGACGCTGCAACAACTCGACGATCGATATTATCGATCATTCCACCGATACCAAAGTACCGTGGAACGTTTGCGGAAACACATGCACATGAAACAATCGGTAATGAATGGATCGATGAACAAGGGTAAAGAAACTATGGAAAAAACACCACCCCTCATTTTTCTCTGTTGCCGGCAGCAAACCATATAAGGTCTTGGACAGAATACGATAGACAGAACATCTGGGAACTGAGCGGCTTGTACGAAGGAGACATAATGCTACCGAACGAAAACGTCGAATCGAAGAACGGCTTGGTGAAAACTGCGACCCGTTGGCCGGGGGGGATTGTACCTTACCACATAAGGGAGGAGGAATTCGGTATACTTGCTTTCATTCGTTTAAAAATCTCCTCTAGCACAGCTCATGTAAGCATAAACATAACAGAATCGTAGAATTAGTTGTACGTATATACGTAATACATTCATAGACGAAGAGGAGATCGAGTTGATCGAAGGTGCCATCAAGGAATACCATGAAAACACCTGTCTACGTTTTCGACCTTACAAGAAAACAGATAAAGACTACATCACCATAGAAGGGAACAAGTCGGGATGTTGGTCTTTGGTCGGTCGACACGATCGCGGGCAAGTAGTGAATTTACAAAATCCAGGATGCGTGCAGCACGGTGTGATCGTTCACGAACTGATGCACGCAGTAGGCTTTTACCATCAACAAAGTGCAGCAGATCGCGACGAATGGGTCACGATAAATTGGACAAACGTAAAGCCAGGTAAATTAACGACCATTTTCATCGACAAGTTCAACATGTATGTAAGTTAGTAAACGTTGTTATACCGTTACACGCAGGTAAAGAACACAATTTTAATAAATACGACAATCATACTGTTACCGATTATGGAATCAGTTATGACTATACAAGCGTGATGCACTACAGTTCTCATGCGTTTTCGAAAAACGGTGAACCGACTATTACGCCAAAAGTAAGTATATACTCGAGATATTAGGGTTTCTATTAATCGTGGCAAATTTAAAAGCGAACTTAACCGTTTGATAACACAGAAAAAAAAAGTAAAGCTTGGTCAACGAAAAGGACTAAGTGGAAAGGATATACTAAAGTTACAAGCGATGTATAAAGACGAATGTGGCGATCGGAAACCTGAAGGGCCTACGAGGGACTAGCACTTTCTTTAACATATTCATCGATCACAACACTGAACACTTGAACAGGATCGATTCGATTTGATTAATCATTTTTCTCTCGATTACTCGATGATTACTTTAATTCCGTCCAAGGAGAATTTCTGTACGCAATGTGACTACAAAGACAATAAAGAAGTAAGAAAGAAGACAGCCGACGCGTGTTTGATAGAAAAAATACTCGTTTCGTGTACTTTCAAACGTGTCATGTACAAAGTATGCGAAGAATGTGAACACAATTTGTAGCGTGTATCTTATTTAATAAGAGGGCTTATTGTCATATCATGCATAGGCCGCTGCACTTCGTGATACACATCATGGAATTGTTCAATCTTCACTGGCAGAATATATTTTTGCTTCATCGATACCCTAAAAATCAACAGTTCTTCGTATTTATTTTCCGATTTGTTCTTTAATTATTTCAAATTCAACGTGATGTTACTGACCTCGGAAAATTCCGGTTTGATATCCTCCAACATTTTTGTACTCAGTATTCCTACGCTTAGAACATTCGACCACGCGTCTTCCAACGTTGCCCGAAAACATCCGCCAAGTAGCCTGATCAAGCAACAGCATCTTGCAGAAGTTATATCATCCGTCGCCGCTAATAGACGACAAAGCATCATTGCCGCATCCTCTTTTATAGAATCGACATTTCATTCGTGTTAACGCAAAAATCAATGAAACAATCGTAGATATGAAAGAACAAATGATCATTCTGCGCAAAGAAACATACCGGCTTGATCCCAAACTAAAACAACTCTTTTCACTAAATTTGCATTCTCAGGCTGAGATCGTAATATTTCATTGAAAATCGCAATTAGATTTCCCAGTATCCGTTCCTCTCTTAACTTCAACAGTTCCTTTAAAAATTCTATTCCATTCACGGCGTAAATAGCATCGCAGAATTGAGTTAGAAATTTTTTCTGGTTATGTATCAATCTACAAAGTACGAGTATGCTGTATTCCAACGTTTCAAAGCGATTTGCGTTCCATTTTATCGCAACATTGTCGTCCAAATTTTCTAGTTTATATTTCCTGTTGTACGGTTTGCGAGAACCCTTAGACATTAAGAGTTTTAATGCGAAGACGAGATTTGGTACGACCCAAACATCTAAATATACTTGCTCGATTTTATCAAGATAGTCTTTTGGTGGACAATTTGAAGCAACAAATGGTAAAGACAGAAGACAAGCTACGTATTTTACGACTCGAAAACTCGCCCGCGGATTTCTTAACGGGGACACGAATACCGAAACACAATTCTGTTGAAGCAGCGAGTCCATTTCACCGTCCATGATTTCTTCCATGGATTTTTGTAAGAACGCGATCCATTCTTCGTTTTCGATATTACTTTCAACGGTTACTGGATTCCAATCAGATAAGCTGTTGCTTCGCGATTCATCTTCGTCGTTTGCTAAATCATCCTTTAGAAGGTGCGAACCAGTGACTGTGCCTTCTTCAACTATTACAACCTTGTCTTTCACAAAAGGATGTTCTAGAAGGGCAGGCCAAGTTAATCTTCGTGACGGATCTTTCTGTAGCAGTCTCTGTTTGCAAATGTATTATCAATAAGTAAACTCAAATGGAAAACTTGTCAAGCTGGAAGTAGTAATCTAAATCTATTACAACCTGTAGGAAACTTTTGCAGTTATCAGAAATACAATCTGGCCACCTTATCTGTACATCTCTTATCAGTCTAATTAAATGTAATATAGAGTTTGTATTAAAAGGTGGAGCACCTGTAACTATTTCAAAAACTATACAGCCAAGGGACCTAAAAACAGATTGATTTGTATATAACAAGCATTAAATTTGATCACATACAAATCTAACTTACCACAAATCCACGTTGTAATCATAAGGATGTTCTTCTATAAGTTCTGGAGCCATGTATAATGGTGTTCCCTTTATAGAAGTTAACATACATGTTCCTGTCTTCATGCTACGAGCAAATCCAAAATCACACAGCATCGCTTGCCCATTTTGTTTGATAAGTACATTCTGAGGTTTAATATCCCTAAGGAACAATCATTCGTTGGTATTTGGAAACATATAATAACATAGTAACATAGAAATCCAAACCTGTGTAATATTCCTTTTGAGTGCAGATAATAAAGTGCAGAGACAAGATCACAAGTTATTGCTTGTGTTCTGTCAACTGACAAATGGCCACTTTTACTAGTCCTTAATACCTTGTGCAGATCCTTTGGCACGTATTCTGTTTCAACCCATATCTAAAACAAAAATTACTCTTTCAGAACAATAATATACATGTAACCTTCGTGTAAATATGAATTCATGTCTCTACCTCACTCTTATTTTCATAGCATCCATATATTGGTACTATATTTGGATGTTGAAGTTCGCGCTGAATTTCCCATTCTTGACGTAAACTTTTCAGTTCTTCATCAGACCTCCCATGCTACATGATGGTTTTTCGTTACACGACACAGCCGACACAAACAACAACAAAAACGTAAGGAGAATTATCGGGGCAAAAGAGTAACAGACAACAAGAATTTTGTTGAGAAACAAATGTTTGCAGGTGTACCTTTTGAACCGCTTTAATGGCTACTATTTCACCATCAAAGTATCGTTTTGCTTTGAACACTTGTCCGAAAGAACCCTCACCCACTAGTTCACACGTTGTGTACGCACCGAAAGCCATTTCTCTATGTAATAGATATAAATCTGAAAGTTGTATCGAGATACACAATAGAACACAGTGGAAGTTTATACGGAACAAGGGGAAACCTGTTGTAAATAGAACCACACGACTTCGACATAGTCACAACTGGAGATTCGTGTTTACTGAGAGAAAAAGTCCTATTCGGTTCGCTGAGAAAAATACTTTTCTCTTAGTATCAGTCAATCAAAAGTCTTTAAATTCTCTATATATGTAGGTACAAATTATCAAAATATTCGGCCATAATATTTCAACTCGACATCACTAACTAAAGGGAAACGTCTTTTAGTATATATCGTGATACTAAACGGATATCTACATTGTATACATCTACTTATAATGTATTTTGTCTGTCGCGATATACATATAACTAAAAAATATGTACATCAATTATTTGTTCCATTTCCTTAAATCGATGTTGTTGCACAGAACAATTCAATATTACAGCCTTTTCAATGATCATTTAATTGTTTTGTAGGTCACGAAAAATGTGATCAAAACATCCGGTAACGCCATCTACTAAAAGAACGTTCCATATTATTACTATCAAGACTATTCCATTAAAACGATATTTTCGGATTTTCATAGCAGAATGATGATAAGTTTCTTTAAAACTGCAAGGAAAACTAAATTAACGACAGGGGAATGCACATGGCAATTTTATTTGTACAAGCAAGTGCTCGAAATTAATAAACAGAATTAACGACATAGTCACTAATATTCATTTCTTTCTTCTTTCAACGATAAAATTTTTCAGTTTCATCATATTGCGCTTCTGTACTCATACAGGCCTCACGGTGGTAATGTTGCTTCCTTTTTTTGTTATAATCTCGTTCTCTGGAATGAGATCTTTTATGTTTGCGCTCCTTTCGCACTTTCCAGGGTTCCGTTGTAGTTTGCGAATTCTTATCTCGTGACTCTTGGTTCTTTAACGAAGATGCATGCGTTGTTTCGATACGATCCTTTCGGAAACTACTGCTTCCGTGATAATCTTTCGACTCTCTGAGAAAGAGATTACAATCGTTAAACGCCGAAGACGTGTTTTGCATTACATTATCTAGACGTTTTTTTGAAGTTTGAGCTTCCAGAAGATCCACGACTTTTGCATCATGATCAGTTTGACGCGTGCCTGATATATGATCAATGTATAACTCCATTTCTTGATTTATAATCTCTCTAAGAATTTCTGTGTGAGATTTTTTATTTGTATGAACGCCTCTATGTTTGGCTCTGCGTCTTTTTAAATTACGTTCTTGCACGAGTAACTCTAAGAACGATAATTTTTTATCTTCCTTGTCCTGACATTGTCTGGAAGAAAATGGGAATATTTTTTTTTCATTTAAAAGGTAAGATTTTCGTTTCAAGCTAATAAAAAGAAATGTTATCTATGAAGACTTACAGTTTACCCGTATCAGCAAAATTATGTCCATCATTCATATTACTAGTATGCGAAACAATATACTTGTGTAGTATTTTCCTTTCATCAGGAGTAAAATCTGCGAAGATTCTATCACATGTTCGTGGAATTAACCGTTCACCCAAACCTAGTATCAGTGTTAAGAATGTGTTTTGAAAGTATGCATATATTTAAAATACAAGCAGAATAAGAAAACATAAAGCTAGTATCTTCTATTATTTTAATATTTAGCAAAGAACACGAAAAAGGATATATAGAGCTTGTGCCGAGTATGATATTCATAATTTTCTGGAAAAAATTCAGCAATTTAAAATATTTAAAGATACGTTTGCATGATTTGTTTTGTGTTACTAACCGATTCTTATGGTTGGATCTTTTCTTTTTGCTTCTTGTAGAATATTATTTTGTAAATATACATCTGCAAGTATAAGCATTTATTATGTACTAAAAATAAGATGTCATTGTTAACCATGCACAATGCTTACCCAATTTTATGGAAAAAGGAGAGCATAAAGATAAGTTTGGTTCAGACAATGGCACATCGAATTCACTGTAACCATCTTCTTTCCATTGACAAAGCTCTAAATGTTGATCTAAGTTTTCTTTTCCAATGCGATGTGATGAATCGTATGGACATATCAGATGGTTATCATTCTGAGGACATAAAAAATCAGGTACTTTTATCGGTATACCTACAGATATTCATAACTTAATTTACTTACATCGATTTCTATACTTTCCATTGTCCAACCTAAGGCAGAAGTAAGCTCTGTGATTTCTTTATGAACTTCTTTTGTGAAATTATTTAAATTTCGATATCGAATTTCCCGCTGATTTAAAGTACAATTTAACATTTTGATTCTTTTTGTAAATGATTCTATAGAAGGGAATAATGATATGACAAAGTTGATAACCTATGTCCTATATAAGTAAACGCGCTTTAGTTGCAGTGATGTTAAAATTTCTTCAATTATCGTTATACTCTTTTTTTAGCCGTATTCACTCTGAATTTGTAAAATATAATTTTAATATCTTCTACACTTTAGAATAAAAACAATTATTGCTTAACAATAACTCAGCTTCCGTTAGGAGAAAAAGTGACATAGGGTAAAAATCGACAAGGTGGCACCAAAAAGTGCACGGTGTGAGCGTGGGGTTACGGAGGCCCCGGTGGAGGCGCCATTGATCACGTGGGGGAGAGCGTGGGGTCACGGAGCCCCCGGTGGAGGCGCCATAGACCCTGCACGGAGGCCCCGGTGGAGGCGCCATTGGTCACGCGGGGTGAGAGCGTGGGGTCACGGAGCCCCCGGTGGAGGCGCTATAGACCCTGCACGGCGGCCTCGGTGGAGGCGCCATTGATCACGTGGGGCGAGAGCGGGGGTCACGGAGCCCCCGGTGGAGGCGCAATAGACCCTGCACGGAGGCCCCGGTGGAGGCGCTATTGATCACGTGGGGAGAAACCGTGGGGTCGCGGAGCCCCCGGTGGAGGCGCCGTAGACCCTGCGCGGTGAGAGCGTGGGGCCACGGAGCCCCGGTGGAGGCGCCATAGACCCTGCTCGGAGGCCCCGGTGGAGGTGCCTTTGATCATGTGGGCTGAGAATGTGGGGTCACGGAGCCCCCGAAGCATGCTAAAGAGACCCCGTGTGTGTGAGATGCATCATGTACAATTAGAATTTCAACGATTTATAAATAAAAGTACACACGGCTGAACTCAACGATAAATTTATTAATAAAATTATTTATAAAACTTAGGATCGATAAATTAAACATCAAAACTGAACATTTGAAATAATCCATAAATTATTAACAAACTTCAATATTCAAAATCAACGCGCAAAACTACAATCAAGTCCCGACATACATATTTATTTATCGTGTATATCTTATATGACGGATATTGTTTGGAATTTATACATATGTTTATGTTTAAATAGATAAAGTATAGCATTGTATTTTATTGTCTCTCAACGCAGAAACAACTTGTGTGTTGGGTAGAGATGGCGTGCAAAATCACTAACGGTGATTTATCACAGTGATCGCCGAATCACGATCACGGGCGTGATTTAACTTCATTCACAACCGTGATTGCGATTTTTCTATCTTGGGTGAATTTGCTCACTGGAGGAAAACAAAATAATAGTAGAGAAAATATATATTTACATATAATTATTTTGGTATTAACGCGCAATAGTACCATTAATTCCCGTATGGTGCGCAGTGCTTCCTGCATGGTGCGCAGTGGTCATCTTATACTTCGTCTGTGCTGATACAATATCTTCAATTTAAATTACAAGAGAAAGAACCGCGGTAAATTTATCAGGCTGCGTTACACAGATTAGTTTTATAATAACGTTATTAAATCATTTTATTGTAAATTATCCTAAACGAATACTCTAAGTGTTTCTTCAAGTTATTAGTTTCAATTATGAACTGCATATTGGATAAGTGACTATCTATGTATATCGGTTCGGAAAAATTACAATGATAACAATTCTAGATGAAATTGAAAATATTTCGATTATATTACAGGAAATAGATAGTAATTCGGAGTGAACGTGTTAAATTATTAAAAATAATTAATATTACTAGCAATATTTAAACGATATCTCTCGAGATTACGTGGATAATATCGTAAAATAAGATTTACATTTTGCAATTTGAAATGGATGCAACTATTCCATACGAAGATGGATTTTCTCGTTATAAACGAACAGAACGACAAGAAATGATGATAGCTGCTCCATTGGACTTGTCGTTTAAAAAAGCAACTACTATGAAAGGTATGTTACTATGTGTGTACCTTGATTCAACTAATTTAAATGGTTATGATACCATAAAGAAGAAATAGATGATCGTTTTTTTTAAGGCACTAGGTTTTAATGAAAACTGTCCTTTTATTCCAAGAGAATTAGCAGACAAACGTCCGCAAGCAGCACGAACAGGTAAAATTCCATTACGAACGCCTACAGATCGTTTCGTAACGTGTTCGTTATGGTTAAGCAATAATTTATTGACCTCAATGGATGGATTCGAAAGTTTTGCACATAAACTTCTCGATGAACCCGTGTACCTTAGCTGGCTCGATGTTTCGTTTAATGAAATAAAACAAATCGGAGACGACATTATGAAATTCCCAAATTTAAAAATCATTTACCTGCACGGAAATAACATATCAAATATCAACGATGTCGTGAAATTGAAAAACTTGCAAAATCTTAGATCTTTAACATTACATGGGAATCCCATTGAAAATCTTCAATATTATAGAGGATATATTGTTCATATTCTTCCACAATTGTCAGCTCTAGACTTTTCCGCCGTTCTCTCTGCTGAGAAGAAGAGAGCACCACCAGCTGGGTTTTATAAAGTAATATATGGTACTACATGAATATAAAACTTTATTTTTAAATTGCATTTGTATTAAATACACGCCCATTTAAGTATTGTTACTTGTAACATTTCTCTGAGAATGTACCGTTCTTTTTTTTTTCTTCACAAGGTACTTTGAGTGGACACTCTTACAAGTGATTCATTTCAATCCTATAGTTATCGTTTTTAAATTAACTCAAGATATGTACCATAAAGTGGAAACTAATCGTTCTAGTTGTTTTCTGTCAATTAACAGAGGTAAAAAAGGCCTCAGAAATTACAAAATCGATACAACTGCAAATGCAATTGCAGTGTCTTGGCTGTAGAATCAAACAATTTTTTATACAGTAAATGGTTCAATGTCGTCTGTGTTTACTGCGATGTTTACTTGATTTTTCTGTTTCTCTTTCACGAGATCGACTGCGCGATCTATAACGGCTACGCGAAGATTTATGACTGCCGGATCGTCTTCGTTGCGCTTTTTTCGGTTTTCGCGATCGTCCGTGACTGTGGCTGCGGGATCTGCTTCTGCTGTGTTTCTTTCTCTTGGAATGCTTTGTTCCTTCACCTCTTGATGGCGAAGTACTCGGAGACTTTGAACGCCTAAACAAATATAATCAAGTTTCATTTGAATCATCCCAAGACTTAACGGATATATTTCTTAACAGTATTATACCTAGGAGATTTTGTCCTTTCGGGTGCCGCGTGGGTACCACTACGACTAATAAAACCACCCCAGGCATTATGATGCTTAGGCAGTGGTGGGCTTGGCGTGTGACTATCAATATCGCCTCCCCTAGCTTTGGTTCTGGCTTCTTCATACTGTCGCCGAAGTTCTTCTACACGTTTTTCTAATTGTTCTGGTTTAACACGGGGTCGATAATAGAGTCGTAATATACGACGACAAACATCTCTAATGGCAGATTCGTTGACTTTAAAGAGGGAAAACCAAGCAGGAGATGTAGGTAGTGGAAGTTGCAGTTGTCTAGCCCCTAAATAGACACATGCACAAGCTACTGTTTCTGGCTGATGTCTTAAAAATACATCAGACCTTAGTGAGTCATTCATATAATTCCAACATTGTTGCATCAGAGCCTTATTCTTTTCATAACCCAATACTTGCAAGTACATAACAATAATTTTATGAGGGTGTTTTACATGAACGCAGAAACCTAACTCTTTTAGAACTCTCCTTTCAGATTTAATTACTTGATTTTTCAATGCCACATAATTCTGGTCAAGGACCACTGGTTGTATTGGTCTAAAAGATATTTAAAAATGATAAACATATAATTATATATACATATAATTTAAAAATAGTACTAGAAGTATTAAATCCTATTTACTTTTGACTGGAGACTTGTTTTATGTGATTAAAAACATTAATGACATCCCTTATACGCCTTGGTGCTTCCTCAATTTTACTAGCTAAACAAATACAACCCATTGCAGTTGTTTCCATATTATGCCTAACTAACGATTTACTGTAATAAAATCGTTGAAATATTACTTGTCCTGTGGCCATCGCAACCTGTTCAAAGCATTAAAATAGAATTCATGGTATGGCGTAGAGGTTATAGAGGTTACAACGTTTACAAACACTTTGTTTACTTGCAAAAGAAATCACATACCTGCGGTAGTTTTAGCAAAATACCAGCGGTTTGTATTAATTCGCATCCTAGTATTCGTAGGTCCGTTTCGGTTTCCGCGTCCAATCCGTCTAAATGCGACGGCGTCGAATTAAGCTTCTCGTCGGGTAAAAGACAATTCTGTAATGTTAATACGATCTTTCCATACGGTTTCGTGTTCCCCGTAGTTGTATTTTTCGCAGGGACGACTGAATTTTCTTTCATGTTATTCATTTTTTTCAAAATTCAAGGAAAAGGAAAAGATTTATTCCTTCAAACACTATTCACACGGCAGGTTAACCTTACATTTTTCCGAACACCATACCTCCGACTCAAAACCATAAACTTAGATATTTAGTGAAAGAAATGTTAATCATGTGTGATTCAATTTTTCGCTAGAGCGCTACCGTCGACTCTTGAATGCCAGTTGGTCCTCCTGACACTTCCGAAATTTATGAATACTGTAACATTAATAAAGCAAGTTATATATTAATTAAAAAATTTATATCATTTTATATACTTTCAATACAGTACACTTGATAATTTCGTCACTTTCTGTTAGTTACAAATTTGTAATTGTGTCCTTGGTATGTTTTCCTTGTTGTGGCAGCATTGCGTATGTATGCATGAATCAGTTAATAGGTTGCCGAACGCGGCAGCGCGTACATAACGGCTACCTCGAAAGGTTTTAAATTTTAAAACTTAGAACTCGTTCTACATTTAATTAACAAAAAGTAGTGAAAATTGGTGGAGTGTAGTTCGAAGCAGAATAACATAACGAAGAAAAATCAAGGTATCATATTCGTTTCGCGATAAAGATTGAGAATGAATTCTCCTCCGAACCTTGCAGCATACTTGCAAGGTTTATTGCAACAACATTATAACATGGTATTCCGCATTGTTTACAGGTTTATCAGCCTATTGCTAGCTGTTTTTGATGTACGAGAACTATCAAGGCAGCAAATCGGTGAGTCTATTTTTATACGTTACACTAATAGTATAAAATCTCCAAAGTAATTCAACATCGTTTACTCCAAGATGGCCGACAATTTCAAATTTTTCTCGCGCCTCTATGATTCAGAGATAGGAAAAGAACATCACGTTTTTACTTTTCGGTATATAATAATATATTCCATCAGTTGTTACATGTCAGTTCTCTCTATTATTTGAAACGAATATCCACAGTACCGCACCGATGCATTCGTTGCGATTGTGTTCGGAGGTTTTGGTGATCTTTTTTCACAAGTTCCTTGATCGATTTCAATAGAAACGTTGTCGAACTTACAGAGTAATAGGATTTTGCGAATATCTCGCAAAAACGATATACTAAGTATAATTATAAATATATACAGGTCAAGAAATAATACATATAATATAATACAGTCGCATAACATAACAATATTATCATACAACGTATACATAGTACAATAGTAACTGATAGTGAAACGTAACGCAAAAGGTAAATAAAAAAACTAACAATAGCGTAGAAATCGTTCGTACATCATTCAATTCATTGTATCCTAGCTCCTCTGAATATACTTTCTCCTTCGTTTTCGGTCCCTGTGTACTACCCTTTATGTATAATTTATAAGTTAAATGAACAGGAAAATTTTGTGAAAGCAGATTTCACATTTGCTGTAAGATTTTCGTTGTGCTGATTTAATTCTGTATTCGTGTGATCAGTTGACTGCGAATATCTATGCATTTAGAGCATATATATAATAAAATAGAAACTTCCATAAAGATCGATATATAATTTACTTCATCTCCGATTTAATGAAAACTTTAATAGGGGGAGTAAGTTTCCATTAATTTTCATTTTTGTACATTAGTCTCAAAAACTGTAAATTTTCATAAACATCCACAGTCTGATGTTCTATTATTTTAGTGATAACTAACGAAAAAATCAAACGAATCGCGGTTTACATCGATAGAAAATTCACTAGTTGTTCAGGATCAGTTAAACGTAATCCCTTGTACAACTTTCAATCCGTAGGATACATGTCCCCTATCGTTTGTATAAAGTTATAAGAGTAAAGGAGGTAATCTTAGTGTTGTTAAAATGAGCGTCGAGTCTTGAGCTTTAAGAGTTCGAGTCGCGATTCAAACCTTAAAGGCTCGAACCTTCAAGGTTCGAAGCTTGAGCCGTGAAAGCTCGAGTCTTTAACGCTCGAGCCTGTAAGCTTGAAGGCTCGAGTCGTATAAATTGTATCTAGTGAAGTGATGTACAGAACTCGAGTTTTCTAAGCCCTAAAACTTAACTTTAAAGTTTTCAGTTTTGAACTCTAATATTACACCAAACTCAAGCTTTTAAAGCTTTAAGGGGGAATTATACAAAAACGTACAGAAAAGCATGTTTTTTGTAAATTCACAAATCATTTCTTCATAAAATGTTCATACTTTTTGTAGAACTTTCTGTTTCTGATATCATATTATTTATTGTATGGGTAATTTTAATGAAAGAATTGATTCAAATCATTATACAAATTGCGACACAGCAAAGCTCCTAACCCAGTAAACAACTGATACTAAGAAAGGGATATAAAACATGAAACAAAATAACCATTGAATAATAGACGGAATAAAACATTGCTAAAAATTTCTCTGTAATGTTTGAAATGCGGTATTACTGACTGAAAACACTCTTACGCCGTGAGGGTCATAGATGAGCGGCAGCCAGATTAATGTACTATGCATGATACTTTTACACAATACACATAATCATATTGTGTAATACATTATAATATGACTCTAATAGGCAATCATTCTTTAGCGTTGAAAACAAAACCAGCAGACCACGCTCGGCAGTGACGTGTTAAACATAAAAAGCCTCGAGCTTCGACAACTCGAGCTTCATATGATATTAACCTTAAAGACTGTGTGTCTTTAGGGCTAAGCTTTATAGCTACGAAGACTCAAGCTTTATACATCACTATTAGTGTTGTTAAAATGAGCGTCGAGTCTTGAGCTTTAAGAGCTCGAGTCGCGGTTCAAACCCTAAAGGCTCGAATCCTCAAGGTTCGAAGCTTGAGCTGTGAAAGCTTGAGTCTTTAACGCTCGAGCCTGTAAGTTCGAAGACTCAAGTCGTATAAATGTGTTAAGTTTTAAGGCTTCGAAAACTCGAGTTCTGTACATCACTTCACTACATACAATTTATACGACTCGAGCCTTCAAGCTTACAGGCTCGAGCGTTAAAGACTCGAGCTTTCACAGCTCAAGCTTCGAACCTTGAGGGTTCGAGCCTTTAGGGTTTGAACCGCGACTCGAGCTCTTAAAGCTCAAGACTCGACGGTCATTTTAACAACACTACTTTGCGGTGAATACCGATTGCTACCATCCGCGGTCGGAGGATATTTCGTTTGGACGGACAATTGTTGACCAGTATCGGTAGAATCCGGATGTTCGTTATTTCGAAACGGTGGTGGTGCCTTGTTTATCTCGTTAGAGGTGAGAGTACGATTCAAACAAGCGGTAGCCGCAGATCTATCATTTGATTGCTGCTGTTTACTAATTGGTACCGCCAAAGGTGCAACCGACGATCTGGCTGGCTTCACTGGTGCGCATTGAGCAGCCAAGTGACTCTTCCCGGGTACGTTGCTGTTCACGGTTCGGTTATCAGTGTGAATGCCGGAGGAATTCGCTTCTGTTGGCCGCGGTAGCCTCAATCTAGCGTCCATCTGAAACTGTTGGAGATTTGGCGCTTGACTCAAGGCGTACAGGCTCTGTATACTTGGGAAAACAGACGAGAGATGGGCGTTCGATCGGCTGCTATTCATAGGGCTGGAAAGTCCTGGGGCGTAGACTGGAGTACGCGTTGGAGTTGGCATCGGACAATCGCTTACTCGATGGGCTGCAGGAGTTAATGAACCAGGCGGTGCTCGGTAGTATTTGTGACCACCTATTAAAGTCACCATTTGTCCCTGATCCGATAAATTCGGTACATTGTCTCTGGCCGAAGGTTTTGCCTTCAGCTTTGTAACTGGTTGTGGTATTCTCAATGGATGCATATCAACTTTCTTCCCTCCGCTTAGATCCAAGATATCCCTAGAGTCTTGTTCTCTTTTCCGTTTTCCGGAAGGCGTCTGTCGTTGTTGTGTCATTTCCCGTTCCGGTTGCTTGGTTTGCCTCGGTTTTGGTGGTGCTGGCATCCTTATTTGTCCAGCCTTCAGTGCTTTCAATACCCGCGGATCAACGGATCGATCGTTCAGAGTGATACTAGGACTCACCTTTCCCAGGGCGTTCTTTCGATTATCTTTGGAATCGTTCGGCTCGACAAATCCGCTACTGCTACCGGGAGATTTCGGTGCAGTAAGAGTTATACTCAAGCTCGCTGGAATATTTAGTCCACAGCCATCCAAGATGTTTCGCGTGTCATTTGAGAGCATCGGGTTCGATGTAGGCTTCGAATTTTGACTAATCGGCGTTCGACTAGGACCAGCGTCTCCGATCAGGTTTGAGGGTCTCTTCGCAGAAATAACGTGATCGGTCGTAAGCTTCCGCGGTGATTTCACGTTGTTTTGCACTGGCGTAGGCAGAGGGGAAGTAGGAGAAGAAACGGGTGTCTGCTTCTTTGTGGTCTGCGTTTGAATCTGTTGCTGCCTTTTTCGTTTGACATCAAAGATCGGCAGCCCTGGTGGACATTTTCTCTTGACCGCGCCTGCTGGTACCACCGGCGGGTCGTTGGAGAAAGTATACACGTCAACCTTTGCAGGGTTGTTGTTAGCGTTGATGTTCACGGTGGTCGCACCCGAACTCTTTGTGTAACTAAATGCGCGTGCATCTACGTCACTGCACTGTTTGTTCGCGTTCACTCGCGCATTGCCGCTAATTCCGCTCACGGTTGCCACGCGTTTACTCGCGTTCGTGGTGCTTCCGCTTGCATTAACACCAGTAGAATTCTCGACGATATTTTTATTTTTCCCTTCTGTGCTGGCTTTCTGCGATGTCTCGACCTTAACGTTATCCTCTTCCTTTTTCGCCGGACTACTGTCACTCTTACTCTGAGCGTTGCTCGATTCACCACTGGCACTTGCCTCGGCCGATTTAGATCTCGATTCCGATGGTACATCGGAAGAACACGATTCTCTGGCGGTTAACTGAAATCCTTGAAGGAATTGTTTCTTCTCTTGTAGTTCACCTGGCTTCTTCAACGTGGTTTTCAGCACGTTATTCGTAGTTTTCTCAGGGGTCAAACGTTCCATGAACGTGACTCTGCGTCTTTGTTTCTCCTGCTTGTCCACTTGTTGCTTTTCTCTGTCCCTCTGGATCTGTTGGATGACTATAGCGTTCGTGGTATCTTTCTCTACTTGACCACCGCAATGTAACAAAACGTTGCTGATAACCTTAGGTTTCGACGGGCTCGTGTTGGTCGGTGTGCACTGCTTTAACGTTATCTTCACTCCGTTTGAGTTCTGCCCGTTGCCTATGCTGACCACGCTAAACTCAGGGCTGAATGATTTTGGTTCCGTGATCGCGGAGCTTTGTTCCTTCGAGCTCCAGTTGATAGATGGGCTTCTCAACACTTCGTAACGCCCGTCTGAATTCTTCAATATCTTAATAGGCGTTTTAATCTGTTTGTTACCCTCGTTACACGAAGAAGCCGTAGACGGAGTTGTATTAGTTACCGTCGTGGTTGTCGTTGTTGTGTTCGTTGTGGAAGCCGAAATCGTCGCCGACGTGACCGTTGTCGACACGACTGTACTGCTCAACTGTTGCTCCACTTTCGTCTCAACTTTCTCTGCTTTCGCATCGAGCTTCTGTTCATTTGGAACTCGTGACTTTTCGATTGAAATGTCGTTTTTACTATTCAGAAGGGGCCGTTCGCCACGGTTGTTTATTTGATCGACTTCCGACTTAGATTCCGCGTTGTTTCGGGTATTTTCCGTGTTAATATTGTCCTGAGCGGGAACGGCAGCGCCGACTGGAGGTAAGCTTGCACCTGATCCGGGGGTCGACGGTCTGTCGTTTGGAGGTGCCTCTAATCTTTGCTCCTCTAAGGCTACTCGGTAAAAAAATCTCATAGGCGCATTCTGAAAACACAATGTTTAGACGTTACACATAATCATACATATTTTCGTAATACTTAATAAGCAGAATGGGAATCAAACATACTCTTTTCCAAGCGTAAATGTAAGCAACATCCATGAGGGTCCAGTGTTCCGGAAGCGGAGCACGCCGATGGCAAATTTCAATGGTGTATCTCGTCATATCGACGCTGTATTTCAGGGCTAGAAATTTCTTTAGATGCGCGATAGTCACCAGCGCGGGACACTGAAGGTACCGTCTGTTGCTCGTTGTACTTGTGTTAAGATTGCTCGCGGGATTGTTATTACTATTATTATTGTTGTTGTTGTTATTTTGGTTGTTCAATCCGTTCAAATTACTCGCTTCGTCGTTGGTACTAAGTAGAATAGTTAGAGGATCTGCTCCAGGTGGTATGTACTCTAAACTCAAACTAACTGCGTCCTCTGGGGCAAAAATCAACCTTCCGCTTACGTCTTCGCCGCGTTGCTCCGGAGTCGCAAAATCCGCTGAAAAGAAAATTCCATCGTGAGACTAATTGATCGGAAAACCACGTCTCTATGTACGAAAACGTAAAGGTTGATTGCATTTACCATGCTCCGGATGCTTCCTGTAGAACTCTCTTCTTTTGCGCATCTCTTTGTGATACAATCCGGGAACCAATTTATACACGATATCCTGTAACGCTTTGTCCGCTCTGAAACGAAACGTTGATCTAAATGTTTTTTTGAATGTTAGCGGATTCGATCGAAGAGCTACAGATACATACTTGATATTCGGTTTCGCCTTGTTGAGAACATGTTTGCACGAGGGACAATGGGCCTCCGTGTTGAGATGCTTCAAAATACAGCTCCTGCAAACTGAAAAAATGAGGAAAAGAGCAGCGTAATCATTATCCGTCCCGGGAAATATACATTATCCGCGGTCGATTCAAATTCACTTACACGAATGCAAACACTCGACGACGGTAGTCGCGTCTATAAGGTATCCTCTGCACAACGGACAAATCAGATAGGGATTTACCTCGCGAAGGTAAGTCCTTTTACCCATTCCCGACATTTTCCTTATTGTGGAACAGAACTGCCCGTGACGGTAACCTGTAACAAGAGAAACACGGACTGATGTAATCCCACGGTCCGGAAAACCGCAACGCGAAAAAACCCACTTTCGGAGGGGTAATTGTTTCGCTAGTTATGGGTGAAAATTCTTTAGGCAACAAACATATTGCTCCATTGAATTTTTTCGTCATTTAAGACATTCTGGGAGCGAGTATCGTTCCTTATCTAATGTAAGTGTTTATATTCCCTAGCTTGTACTACATCTGTACCATTTCATCAAAATCCCGACCCAACGTTCCAATTAGGTACTTTCCCGCTGTATTTTTGAATTGTCGCATTTTTACCATGATTTTCGCCCCGATTATTCGCAAGCTTCGCCGACAAATCGCGTGGCCGCATAGGAAACGGTTGGGCCGTGTCACGGTGTTTAGCCCACTTTCCCGAAGGTTTCTCAGGTAGCTAGAATCCTGTTGCCTCGTTCTCTGTCCTCCCTCCGCTGGGTTCGAACCACCCGGTAGGTATACGGGTGCGTTTTATCCTCGTTCTCCCCGCTCGAGAATTGTCCTTTCCGTTTTTCCACTCGCCTGGCGCGCGCGGTGAAACCGCCAAACAGCCAGCAGCCCTTGCTAGGCGAACGAAACGCGTGGTGTGCCGTCGAATACCTGCTGGTATTGATCGAATATCGCGCTATTTCGCAGCAGAGACCTACGACAAACTGGCTTCTCGATATACATACACGTGTATACTAGGTTTTCGTTGCCAAGAAATTACCGCCGTTCGCGAGTCCGTTAATCGGTCGTAGATGTACGGAGGAGTGGCTAAGAGTTACTCTCAATTCCGAACGTCAGTCATTGTTCCACCGCGAATTTACATCGGTTATTGTGCTGTCGTGTTGAAAATTAAGCAGTGAATACTGAGGAAAGTGTGTTACCATAGACCTGCTTCGATTATTGTCTATACAATTTAAACTCTATTCCTTGGACCCCGTTAGTGCGTAATATTATTGTAAAATCTCTGCCCTTCAGATATTGTATTGCAAGAAAAATATGACAGACCATGGGTCTCGATTGAAGTTACTTCTCTCTCGTTCGAGACTAGACCAGAGGATCTCGTTATTCTTCGTTTGTCTGTATCCGTCTACCTACTCGGAGACTCCGCGCGGCTATTCCCCGAGTGCAGCACGTGTCGCGAATGCAGGGACGCGCCTAAATAAAGCCTCGTTCACACCGATCTAGTTCGTCGTCCATGGGAATCGTTAATCTTCACTTTGTCTTCGCCGTGAGCAGCGTCGATGTCCATCGAGAAACGAAGACGACATCGACGCGCATTAGGGCCAATTATCTTGTTAGAAATTAGCCGCACTATTTGGACCCCGAGTCGGGGTAGACCTTCGGTATACCACGGACGTTCTACGATGTCTAGTATATACATACTTTGTCTATTTATATCGAGCTTGGTCTGTAAGAAGCAAAATTCTCAAACGAGATTGGTAAGTGACGATGGCAGAGGGCTGGACAATCGTTTTCGATAAATCATCCAATCGGCTGATGGTGTCGAAATCTGCAGAGGTAGTTCTCACCGATCAGTGTGCCGACGGTTTTAAAGTTTTAGAGTTTCAACGTTCCAGAAAGTGTATCTGATTCTTTGGATAAGAAACGTTAATTCCTAGACTTGCTATGTTTTGTTCTTACAATGAAAATGAACGAACCCCTGATCACGTGCTGCACTTTAGACAGACTAAAAGGGAGCAGAAAGGTTGCCTAGTTAAGCGATCGTTCATCTAACCTAACAGAACAGGTGCGAAATCTTTTCGTGTAAAGACTCTCATTTTCTTTCGCGAAACTTTAGCCGCCTTATCGCACATTATGTGCGTTACAGATTAGACCCCCAGCTGTTCTCCGATCCCTCTGCCCCGTCGCTTCTATACGCTCGTACCCTAAGAAAAGAGAGTAGGGAGACGACGACCCTACTGGCCGGAAGAGACCGTGATTCGAAGTAACCTTAGCGACCGTGTACAGAGATCGCAGAAGAAAGGCATTCGATCAGCCATCCCAGTCTTTCTTACGGAACAGCCGGCCGCAGAAAAAAAAAGTATTCTTTCGTCAGGATAGGTGTTTTTATAGGTACATATATAAGTATATGTCGATCTCGCTTCGCAACTCTCGTTCTTCACCTGCGAAATCGAAAACGATTGGGTAATCACATTTTTTCCAATTCCCCGTTTTTTTTCTTTTTTCTGTCGACGTGTAATTCGACGAAACAACTGTCACGCGACGATAACGTGCTTTCACGGGGATTTTATGCAGTTTCAACGTCAACGGTCGGATTCGGTTAACAAAATTTCTTCCTTGGTGGAGGGAATAGAAGTGAAGACGAGGCGAAAGGTGTTTGTTTTCGGAGTTAATTTATAGGTATGTTACGAGGCATTTCCCGCCCATTGTTCCGTCATTCTTGTATTCAGCGTTTCACGGCGATCTGGTTGTACCGAGGCAGCCAGCTGATTAATCAGTAGAGACACGTTTTCTCGAGTATCGTAGGCAACGGACGTTGCGAGATCGCAACACGAACGACGCCCCGGGACGAAAGCGGCGCGACGAGTTTTTCAGTGGAAAGCTTTCGATGCTGTCCCTCCGCTGCCCGTTATGTACATCGATTTCGGACAATGGGTTAGATCTCGCGTTCTAGACGAACCCCGCGGGAACCAGTGAGCTCGTCGACACCTCTCGTATCGGCCAACAGTGTTTATTCCATCGTTGCGCGTATCGCGAACCGCGTACCGACCGATTTCGTCGAGGACGAAAAACGAGGCAGTGCGAATGTGAGAAAAAGTACAGAGATACAGGCCGCTGCAAAATACGCGGCTCGAACGTACGACCGTGATCATTATTTTCGGAGCAAGTTACATTAAAATATGTACGTAACGAAACGATGATATTGCTTGAAATTTCACTTTTATAAGGACGACAGCTTCTCGTTGTATGTACGCACATATGATCCATGTGTACACCTTTGCTTGACACCTTGTCGTGTTTGTATACAGCGTGTATCTATAAGATCGTTGGTTGTGACAAGGGTATCTAAAATCCTAGCAGAAACGACGAAGATACATATAGTTGTGTTAGAGATTTATTTTCTCAAGTACAGCGACATATTTCATTTCAACGGTTTGTTAATCATCAAACTTGAAAGGTTAATTAACCGTTAAGTCAAACGGGCAACGTTAACTGATCGAAACATTATATATATATATGTGTGTGTATACATACATCGTGTTCTGCAGGGTATTAGCGTGTATTTTGAGACACCCTGTAGAGGAGCGCGCGTGCGAGAGCGAGATGAGAGGAGGTTAGAAAAAGAGGGGGCACACGCGAGAGGATAGAACGAGGAGAGGGGAAAAAAGAGTAATAATGAGAAAGACGAGAGTGGGACACAAATGGAGAAGGTGGGGAGAAAAAGATGGAGGAAACCGCCCTCTCTGTCTTCCTCTTTCTTTTTCTATTTCTCTCTGTCGTTTCTCAGCATTCAACCGGCGGCGGCGAGTAGGTCTACGTTCACACATGCGTACACGCTCGAAAGGCGCTATAGTATCATAGTGTACATGTATGTCGGTGGTGTAGAGTGTGTGTGTGCGCGTTTGTACTTACGTGCGAGCATGCGATGATCCGTTGTACTACGGCAAATGCTATCCACTATGGTAATGGAGCATGCTGGTCCCGGACGTGCCACTGGTCGTCGTGTCGTTCCCGTTGAAACGATACCCGGCGGAGGAGACGCGATCTAGCTTTCAGTTTTTGCGAACCCCAGCTCTGGATCTCCCTGTTCTGAACAGGAGAGGTGCGGGGTGTCCAGGCAACACAACGACTATGTCGCGTGCCCGATGTGTACGCGATCCTCGCGACGAACAGCCAGCTTCCCTCGAGCATTCATTCGAGCACGAGCTCCACCGACGCGGGGATTTACTTTCACCTTTCCGCCAGGCTCCGGAAGGAACGCCAGGGCCTGGCCACACGGGATTGCGAGGAACGTAAAAGAAAAAAAAGAAAATAAAAAGAAAACGAAGCGAAACCCGAGAGACGTACGAGAGAAATACGGCGAGCCGTACGACGGCGCCGCGAAATACCGCGCGGCGTTTTCTCGAACTACGCCGTGGAAATGAACGACATCGAGCGTATAACGGAACTCAACGACCAACAACACCCGAACACCATGGCGACTCACGCCAAACTAAACTGAAAACCCAGAGTGGGATATGCCCTTTCCCCTCCCGTCTCTCCCTTCTCTAGAACCCTCAGTTTGTCCCTTTACCGCGCTCGCCCCCTTTTGCGCACGAAGCGCACCCCCTCCATCGTCTTTCTCTCCTGTCCTCCAGGCTCTACCACACGCTCCTCGCGCTACGCCTGCCGTCTCGTTTTACTCCTCTCTTCTCCCCCTACCAGTTTTGCTGCTTCTTTGTCTTTGTCTTTCCCTCGATACATACTACTCTCTCCTGCCCCCTTCGAGTATCGTATCTGTATACCTCGGTTGTTCGACTGCCTAGCCTGGCCTAGCCTGCTGAGCCCGCTGAGCCCGCCACCACGGCATGCTCGACTTGCCTCTGCCTGTTTGCCTGCCCGTACGAGTCGCTTTTTCTCTCCACTCTCCTCTACTCACCCGTTTCTGGCCACCCCTCCCTTCCTCCCTCCAACGAGTGGTACGCCGACACTATTGCACACTAGACCGGGCTCTCACCAACGTACCCGACTATTCTCCCCCTTCATCCCATTCGCGATTGCCGGCGTTACCAGCCCGGGTTACGAGCTCCCCCCTATTCGTACGCGGCCGATACCTCACCCTTCTCGTTACTCATCCCTCCCTTCAACCATCCTTCCACTCTTTTCTCTCTTTCTTTCTCTCTCACCCCTCCATCGCTCTTCCTGTACATCTTCGATTCTCCTCTTTCGTAGCCGGGGACGCAGAAACGACCCCCTAGCCTGCGAACCTTTTCCCTTCTTCCTCTCTTTCGGTCGTTCTTCTTGCTCGTAACCTCTAATTACAGCGCGGCCAGGAACGGAAATCGGCACTCGAGACGCCGCCAGATGGATTTCCGCGTGTGTTTGAATAAACGCGCGATAAACCCGTTTCGCGGGGCGGAAAACCTGTGGCCGGGTTGGTGTCCTCCTGCTGTTACGAGACGGCAGAAACCGGCGACCAGTCGGCAGATAAAACCAGACAGATTATGGGGATACCGTTGAAGTTTTATTACGGATGTTAATTTCACTTGTATGTATGTACGATACGATATAGTGCCCATGTAAGCTTTCGGTATTGCGTTACGGCCGAGTCGTCTTTTTCGGGTGTACATGTAATGCCAGGCTTTATCGCGTGACGTCAGCCTCCGATTCGATGGAGGATTCTACATTGTAATCTTCGAAACCTTCTTTCAACGCTGGTACTCCGTGGGTCGTGACGCTAATAGAAAAGTAAACGAATGGAAAACGAAAGTCTTAGCCGCATCAAATCCATCCATAGATCTTTAATTTTCATGGGAAACGTATGGACATAGGGTTGGGCGTTGTTGATAAATTCCGTTCACCATTTGTGTTCATGCGGAGAAGTTTCCAATGTATGCCACATCGTAAAAACTTTCGAGAAACTTGTTATCGCGTTCGAAACACATCAAGCACGGATTTTTTTACCTGTAGAAAGGGTGGAGCTAGCTGACTAATGTAGGTGGTTGGTAAAAATTTCTCCTTCTGTAAAGCAGTTGGTGAACTATAGTGTTAGATACCAACAAGAATACGTACCGGTTATTGTCACCTATGACACAGGCTGTTGTCCACCCTGTTCATCACCCCACGATGTCGTGGAATAAACGTGTATTTAATGGGCGTGGCGATTATGAGAAATTTGTCGACCTGTTCTTGAATCGTCAACCCCTAACAGACTAATTAAATCAAACACCGGAGTTTCTTCCTCGAGTTAGTCATCGAGTGACCGTTCCGCTGACGCCATCCTCTCTTGTCAATAAGATTCGAAAGCACTAATTGGGAGTACCTAAACATCCTTGAGACTATCATATGCTTGAGGTAAATACGATGAAAACAAAGGTTTAATCGTCGCTCATCATCGATAACATCTATTAAAAAATCAATTTACGATTCATCAACGCATACAATCATTAACCATCGAAGAACTAAAAGGCAGTCTACAATGCAACTGTATTCTGTCTTATTTAATACAATATTTGGCTCATAACTGTTCTCCGAACTTACGTTCAAACGCGACGGAGACTCCGCCATTTTGGTTCCTTCCGAAAAACAGGGCAAACACTACGGTTTGTGTATCTAATCTAATCCCGAACAGTGTTGTGTAACACTTTACCACGCGCCCATTCTACTTTCTCTTATCAGACGCAAGTGTTGTTAACGCGGTCGTCTGGAAATGACAAAAAAACCTTTGTTCCGAATTCTCGTTTTTATGTCAGAGCGCACGGAAGGTAACAGCAATGCGAAAAGGAGTATAATTTATTGGAAACGCATGTCAAGGTACGGATAGTTGTTTTATAGTTCCATTCGCGAATCCAAGCTGCCGAATGCGAGTCTTCGTGTGCAAGTACAGCGTACAGATCTCCGTGACGTGCACCCGCTCGCTATTTGCGCGTATGGCGCGCTTGCGCTGTCGAATAATCTTTCAATCCGCCAACGCTTTCGTCTCACCGGAGACATGTAGTCTTAGCGATCTTCAAGGCTATTATTAGAAATCTAGCGAGATTGGCGTTGGTCAGGCATGAAACTCGGTTAAAAAATAGCACGGTCTTTCGAACGAAGCATTCGCGACAAATAAATCGATTGAAATGAAATATTCATCTTTCGGAGTCGGTACGATTGGATTACTGCATTATAAACGTTAATAAATTGGTAACTTTGTAGAATCCCAAGGTAGATTCACAGATAAGTTGGACGAGATTCGGGTGAAACGCGAAACCTGGGACGTAGTTTTACCGAGTACATATGTATGTATACGGGATATTTCGGAATTTACAAGAACGAAACTGCGAGGACCAAAATGGTGGTAATGTTTCTCGGTCGGGTCTGTAACCGACGATTACATTTTGTCCTTCCGTGAAGGCGAAACGGATGGCCTATCGGTATCAAAGGATACGAGAGCTACAAGTACGAATATCATCTTTCTTGCGTTGCGACAATGCGCATAATTAATCTCTCCCGTGTACAATAACACATTCGTATGCATGGGTACGGTGGCTATGTGTCACCGGTAGGTATATCTTTCTAGGTACCTACGAATAGAAAACCTACCTTAACAGCACGACACTGTGTTTCTGAATGCCAATGAAATTGATGGCAATACTACCCATCCTTGTGGAAACGTTATTCATCGATGCCACTAGTAATATAACAATGGCAATAAAAATCCTAAATAGCCGGATATTAACGGAGGATGGGCGGGCAGTAAAGGTAATTTTCGTTATTTCAGGTATTCCCGGTGTATGTACCTGGGTTACGGGATTCATTTGGGGTGTCCGTAGCGACGGCATTAATTACGGGCGTTTTTAATTACACCAGTCAGGTATGAGCCAACTAAACAGCACACTCCCACCACGTCGGTCGACCTTCCAATCCTGACACACCCTGGGTGTACTTTAAGAACCGTTCCCCCTTCTACCGTCTCCCAAAACAGTTGGAGAATGCCGACAAAAATATTCGCATGGTGCGTGCGTTCTTGTCCCCTCCAACCCTACGTTCGTGCAAAATCCCCCTCTTCCCCCATGGTATACGCATCGTTCGGGAAGACTTTCTCTGGAAGGATCCCTTGGAGGGCCTATCCCCACCAGGAGGGCTCGGACGGATGGTCGGTCGTTTAGCTGTGGAACGCGGCTCGAATCACGAGCGAATGAGACGCCGCTAGATAGCCACCTTCGACTATCTATTCCCCTGGTCCTTTCTCCGCTTCCTTGGCGCTCCGTTCTTTGTCCACCGTTCCGCGAATCCGTTCCCTACTTCGTTGTTGGGTACGGAACCTGTAGGTGATACGTGGGCGGCCCCTGATCCGAGCATATTCGTTCCGTGGGATACGTGTATTGGTATTCGTGTGCCAGGAGATCTCCAGTGAGCCTGCGCCGCGTTATCGGTCGATACACGCTTTTGGGAAACCTTCCACGTGTTTCGTGGAGCCGCGTGAGGGAAGATCGCGTCGTCCCTCTTCGTCCGGCTTCCGTGGCTCGATCAAAGACGAGGAATCGTTGGGTTCGTATCGTTCCCTTGAACATATGTATGTTTTCGTGATTTTTTAGAACGAATCAAACTCGGAGGTTTTGCGTAGACGGCATCGATTCTTCTCTCACACGGGGTAATCGGTAGTAATTACTTTGTGCACAGGTGTGCAATTGTCCTACAGGTATCGTAACGATTGTTCACGGTGGTAATTACTGCATCGATAAAGGGCGATGCTGTTTCATTGATGGACATGCTACAGGAATGCACACGATCTCATCTTCACGGGTGGATCGTCATCAGCGGCATCCCACGATCGCCTACGTGCAATCCTGTCGCAGTCGGCCGTGCTGTTTCGATAAACGGGCCTACAAAGCCTACCGGAGGGGACGGGCCGATGCTTGCATTCCCTGGAGCCCCTCCTGACATCGGCTGTACGTGGGTACATTATTCATTCTCTACTACAACATTCGGCAGCAGGAGGGTGCGCACGTGTGTGTGCCGTGCGTGCGTGCGTCCCTTCGTAGTCGATGACGCGACATGCACTTGCGTCCACCTTTTATGTGTGCGTATTCGTATAGATACGCCCGTCTTTTCTCTCTCTTTTTCGATGCCATCCCTCTCGCACAGCCCCCCTCCCATCACCTCTTCTCTCTTTCTCTCTTTATCCTCGTATACCCCTCTGACCATGAGTCTATCCTCTACCCGCTTCGTTTATACACGATTCATCGTCTTTGTCGCGAATGGTTCCCCCTTTTTCTACCTTATCTGTCATCCCCCTCATCTCTCTCTTTCTCACTTTTCCGCCCCTGTCTGCTCCTTCCCTAAGGCTATTTCGGTCCCTGTCCCGCTCACGGCGAGCAAGTATACAGAGACGCGTGTGGCGTAAACAGAAGCCAGTAAAAGGATAGCTCGGTGGGATGGAAGGCTACAAGGGCAGGCCACACGATGGAACGGGAGGTTGTGGAGGGATCGAAGGGGTGGCGGCATTAGTGCGTGTACAGACCGGGGCAACACCAGGGCAACAGGGCGCGAGAAGAAAAGAGGGAGACCGAAATAGGAAGAGCGTTGTGGTGAGAGCTAGACGATGTGATCGTTAGAGGGAGAGAGAATAAAAGGGAAGTAGTGGTTACCAAGGGAGCCGATTGCACACGTTGCGCTCGAACGAAATCCACGTCCCTGAAACCTTTTCCTTCCCGCGAACGAACCCTTTTCGCGTCGTGTGCAAGAGGCTCGCTCTAGGCAAGCTCACCCCTCTTCACTTCCGACGCTCTCGACGCACTTCCCTGGGGGAGGTTGTAGCCAATCAGCGGTCGAGTTTCCGTGGCCCGCGGCCGCTGGCTGACTCCACGTCTCCCGTACCTAATGTAGGTTGTCGAAAGGTAGGCACCTTCGTACCCTCCTCGCCCTTTTTTTTTTTTACCTCCGTTCCCTACCTCCGTCGCAGGCTGAAGGTAACGAAGGTCATCCGGCAGGGGCCCTGTACCTCACTCGATCTTCTTGGATTCTCTGTCACTCTCTGTCTTGGCGGTGTTCCCCTTTGATGACCACGCGTCCTCGAGCTCGCTCGGTGAACCATTCGTCAATGGGGCGAATCGAAAAAGACCATTAACCTTCGGGAGGAAGTTCGTCAGAATCTTGGCAATGTTTTTGTCAGAGTAGACATTGAAGAAATGTATTTGAAGTACGAATTCTAGTACATTTTATGAGATCATAAAGATCAGGTTCGAAGAAAGGTGAAGCGCTTGAGGAAGTCATTTGAAGTCTTTCCAAATTCTACTTCGGCCATTGTTCAGGAATTCGCGTTGTATGTCGGTCTTATTGAATGCTTCGTAATCTCGTATTGTCTTCGTCGAACTCTTCAGCGTATGTCAAACATCGAATTAACGATATGTGAGTGTATTGAAATGATTTAAAAAACAACAACAGTGTATATCTGACCAAAATCTATGAGACAGAAAATTCTTTTACTATTGTAATCGATGGCAGGGTAACGAAGATCCGGGCGGAAACCGGACTTCCGTCGCAGGTAATATTCGCCCACATGGCGAACACTCTTTGCCTGACTCGAGGCATAAAGAGTAATAAAGCAATTAAAGAAGGCCTGAGTTTCGCCGTTTAGAAATTAATGAAAAAGTCACGTAGCAAATTCTACCTGCGGTCCTAGCAGCTGTAGAAAAAACCAATGACGGTAAAATGACCATAACGGTGTTTCTAAAAATTGTATACGCGACATGCCTTTTGATTTCTACATATTAATGACATCTTTGGAATAATATAGACTCACGTTAAAAGCAGTACATATTTGAGGATATCAGATTAGTTGCTTGTTTATCGTGTACGATGTCTTACAGCTTTAGAACTTGCGTAAAGACTCGCACCATTCGCGACCGAACGTAAAAATGGCGGTGACCTGGAGTAGAAATTCATTCGCAAGACGTTCTCCAAACCTCTAAAACTATGCGATTGAATATATTTTTTTTCATTACAGAAACAACAAAATATTACGTAGATAGGTATCTTTGCACCTCTGTTGTTTAAATTTCACGAAATGATTTCACTGATGCAGGGGTGCGATTAAATAAACACTCATATACGATTATACATATCACGATTTATTGACGAGCAATGATCGTACACTTGGATACAACATGATTTTCGAAAACAATTTCAACAAAATATCGAAGTAAACACATTAGTTAATCAGCGATAACAACAAATACTGTCGAGTGCCATTCATCGACGAGATGAAGCGGAGTAAGTTTCAAATGAAAAGTTCTTTACGATAATATTCGAAACAATTAAATATGTACTCGAACGATCAATGGTACATACTAAATACATATATGATAATATAATACGTATTTTTAGCCTGAATTATACGGTTATCCGGTTTATTTTACAATAAATTTCGATTACTCTTCCATTGATTGCAGTTTAACAAGTGAACTGACAATTTTAGGACCGTTTCGTAATGGCTAAGAAATATCAAAGACAAAGAACACGAATAAAGGTGACTCGAACATTTGAATACTTAACTGTTTTCTTAACGATTATTGATATTCTTATTTCGATTACAATTCACAGCTTGTTTATCATGGGAATACTGTACTGACAATGAGTTACGTATGTATGTACTTAGTATTCGTAGCGACAAAAATGTCGGTAATATGTAACTGGTAATAATTAGTCGAGTTTCATGTCGGAACAATTTATCACGACGATAATTTGACGATACAGCCGATCACGTCTACGTAATATAATTCTAAAATTTAAACTAAAACTGAACATAACCATACACGATCGACTTCGCGACAGTCAATCGATGATAACAGTAATTTCCATTTCATAATCTTCATAACTCTTTAAAATTTAAAACATTTGCACAACGCTTTAATCGGTCAAAGACGAGATTTTATCGACCACTCCGTCATATTTTTAACCGTAGATATCTAAGAAAGTGTTTTCCGGTTCTTTGTGTAGTTGGGGGAACATTTCTGAAACAAACATTAACAATAAAGAAACAAGAAAACAATTAATCAACCGAAAGAGTTCTTGATCCCTCGTTACACGGCGGGCACAAAGTACCTGCGCGTTAAAATCTTTACGAATCGCAAATTTCCAATTACGACAAATCAGGTATACTTAACATTTCGAATCACTGATAACGAAATACGCGAACGTTTCTTTAATGAATGAGTTATCATTTCAAGCGAAGCATACGTCCAATTCTGCGGCAGCTATTTGTCCATAGGATAAGTCCGATTTTAAAGTAATCGAATGATATTCGCAGTTTTCGTATCTATATTATCATTTTGCGAATCACCAAGACCGAACGAAAGTCACGTCTCTACTTATTCAACGTGAATTATTAGTCGATTAATGGAGAAATTCTGATCAATAACGACAATAGAACGTAACGCGTGTGTTCTCTTTTGGACGCGATTCTATTTAAAAAACCCGGTAGAAAAATAACGTGTAAAAATCTGGGTCCCTTTGAAATCGTCGTAAATTCTAACGAGCCTGTAGCCCCGATGTGGTCCACCTCGTCTTTACGAACTGGCAGTTTATTAATTTTTTTTTTTTTTGATTTTTCAGCTTAATTCGAAATCGTGCGTGGCTGCTGATCAACCATTAAAATTAATTGACGCGAATTTCGTTACCGATTCGAATACCCGATTCCGTTGCCGAGAACAAGATAGATACGTTCTCTCCTTTTTCGTTTGCGCATTCATATTCTCCATACACGGGAATTAACGCACACGCGCACGCGAGTGTGGAGCAGGATAATTGGACATCATAAACGTACAAGCTATACATACATATGTCTATTAATTGATGCGCTGCTTTCCTACACGAATATTATTATATAATGTACCATCATTCTCCGTGGTTCTCGTTCGTTCCCCGTCTCTCGTTGACAAGTACCTATATCATTCGAAGGATGCTTTTTAACTACCGTTGACTCGTTTAGCGACGTACCGTCTTGAATATCCAATCCTTACTGTATTTCTGCATACCCACCTTGATGCCCGTTCGATAATTATAGTATTCTTTTTTACGCAACGTCTTACGCTCCATTAAACACTGAATTATTCTGACCGTTCGAGTAGGATCTGGAATTCCTGGTAAACGTTTCGGGTTTCCTTTAAATCAAGTTGATCTTTATTGCTGTCCTCGGTTAAACGAGAGCAATTCAACGATCGTACAAATTCCGCGTGTTACAGCGTTAAAAATCGTCGTATTACATAAATCAGGCTCTCAGCTCCTCTCGCCGTTCTTTTTTTTTTTTCTTTTTTTGATTTTCTTTTCAAAAGCACTTGACCATAATAATATTATTCGCAAACCAATAACAGCGATATGAGTTTATATTTTTTCGTAAAGCAAAAGAAAAAAAAGAAAAACTGCCGATTCAACAGTAGGTATGCTTTATAGATGTGCCTCGACTATCAGATATTATCGAGAACACGCGCGTGGGAAAGCTTTCGCAAAGCTTTCCAGTTATACATATATACTTCCGATTATAAAAGATGATTTCGTGGGATTCGCGAAACTGTCCGTCGACATCTTGTAAAATTATTTAAGGGCTGCTTCAAATCGTGTGCATCCGATTCGCATAATATTTCGCCGTTACGACTAGCGTATACCCCCCCTTTTTACCACGAATCGAATCTTACAGCCGTATCATCGCGCCAAGTCCGTTGTATAATGATAGGTATATATTATACGATATACGATAATTAAATTGCACTAATACATTGCACACGTTCTCCGAACTTCTTTGGCATCTCTATGAAGTACATACGTATATTTCTCTAAGTTTCTAAAGGAGAGACAACACGTGGGGGAGACAAGGAAAGCTTATCCGTCATCCGTCCGCCGTATTCGTAACCATTCACCCGCTATATACCCACTCTACAACCCCTAACCACACGTTTATATAACGTATAATCTATCTCTGTCACGCATTACGCCACTGGTAATCGCAGGAGCGGTTCGTCTAATTGCCGACTCCATCTTTTCTCTTTTTTTTTTTTGAAGAATCCTTCGTCCGTTCGAGACACGAGCACGATCTGCGTTTTAATGGCTACGGTGGATCATAGACACACACATACACACATGCATTACAAACATACGTAACTTAACATATATCTAAATAACAACGGATCGAATATCGTTTCCTCTCACAGGTCGAAGACACACGGGAAGCCGGTTCCCATACTTCTTTTTTTTTTGTTTCTTTTAAAGCAGGTACCTTACATACTCGTTTGCTTTTACCATGTTAAATCTTCTCTTACACTTTCACTCGCCGAGACGGCTGTTCTAGTTCGTGCTACCGGGTGTACCCCGTGTGTCTTCGCACCCACGCGGAAACACGTCGCGTCGTTTTGTGAAACGTTTAAGCCCCACGGTCGCGTGTGTGGACGAGACGCGGTTTTACAGGAAGCGGGGGAAGAAAATATATGGTAACGTACAGCCTTTGGGTTGGTCACATAGGAATCTCGTTTTTCCGTAGGAGCGTTCTTATACGTGTAAAGATAGTAGGAAGTAGGTATGGTAATGGTGAAACGGAGGAATACAGGAAAGCTGGGCCGTTTGTTGATCGGCGAGGGATCCTTCTTACGGTGGCTGCTGGGAGCCGGTGTTGAAGTAGCTGGCCCGTTGATTTCTGTACTGCGAGGCGACTACAGCTTGCGGATTGGGTATGTGCCTGATGCTGAGATTGGGTTTGATCTTCATTCCGAAACCAGATATACGCTGATGAGGCTGTGGTATCCGCAGTGCCACTTTGCTGGCGATGTTGCCCGAACCGAGCACCAAAGGATCCACCGAGTTCTTGTCGGAGATGCATCCGCTTAGCAAGGACACCGCTGCATCGGAAAGCGTGACCAGATTGGATTCTTGACCGCGTCGTTGATCCGAATCCTTCGTCTTCCCTCGTAATAAGCTTCCCGTGGCGATACCTGGTCGTACTGGTCTGGTATTCAACGAGGACACTGAACAGGACGAAGATGACGAGGACGATGAGGAAGAAGATGGGGAGGATGATGAGGATGATGACGAAGACGCGGAGGACAAGGAGAAGTTACCGGTCGATAAATTGGCGGATAGATCGAGGACGTTATTGTGCACAGTTCCACCGCTGCTGAGGTCCAACGGTATCTCGTATTTCGAATTGTTTGGTTCTAAAATGGCGCTCGACGCGGCGAAGCCCGAAGGCTTAGCGACTCGGAGGGGTGCCAGCGGCGGTGGTCCTTTCTTCTTTGGAACGGTACTGACTTGTAGATTCGGGGATTGCTCTTCTTTTGTCTTCGACATTATACTCTTGAGGGTGTCGCGCATCTGTTTCTCGGCTAACAAACTCCTCACACGGTTAGCTTTACTTTCACGAAGTTGCTTCTCGAGCTTCTCTCGGTCCATACTGTCGTTCTTCTCGCTGTTGCTTTGAACACGTTGCTTCGTTTTCTCACGGAAGTTTTCGCCGCTTTCGTTCACCGCTACCAAACCCAATCGTCGGAGGATCTCCTCGTCTTTCTTCGGTTGGACCAGTTCGACCTTCTCCGGCGCCTTCGCTGTCTCGGGTTCCGTCTCCTCTTTTGATTTGGGGGAAGATCTACAAGTGGACGGTGTACTTCTCGGTTCCATCCTTTCCGTCCCTGGGGACGTCTCTTCTGCTGGAGTACTTATATTTTGTGCGATTCTGACAACTTCGTCCGGTATACTGTCTATGATCTCCTCTATCGTCTCCTCAGTTTCCCCGATGTTATCTTTCGGACCAGCACCTTCTTCTCGGACCAAAGAACTACTCGTCGATCGTTGCTGCCCCATAGCCGTGGCTTTGATTTTCTCTCGTCTAACGGCCCTCATCTGCAACAACTTCTCCTTTGTCTGTCCAGCTCCAGTGGTCGACGTGATCCTCGATGGACAGGGCGTAAGCCGAACCTTCAGTTTCAACAGATCTTCCCTCGGTGTGGTCGTGATCTCGGCGATGACTCGCTTGTTCCGTCGTTTCCTGCGTTTCCGGTGCTCCAATCTGGTCAGCTCTTTGGTCTTCGAGCTCTCCGGCACGTGATTGGTCTGCATCGGCACGAGATCGGGCGTTCTCATGACGGGCGTCACCTCGCAACGGGGTTTCTTTGCCTTCGGCTCCTTGTCGCGTTCCAGATTCGTCTCCAGCGACCGAGCCGGCTCGGTGCTACTTTCTAAAATCCTACGAGCCTCGACTTCGCATTCTTGGACAGGCTTTGGACTTGGCGGCGGCGTCGGCGGTCTTTGAATGTTTTCCATCGTTGTGGCATCTTTGGACGTCTCGTCGTTGTAAGGGCTCACTCTCGACACGGTGACCACGTTATCCTTTCGCGTCACTCGGTAATACAGCTTCATAGGCGATTCCTGTAATGTGAAAATCGTCGCTTCCCCTATGATATCTAGCGTGGATCATAGGAGGTCAAGATACGACACCGATGTGCGAAACGATTGCTCGGTGGTACGTACGAGATGAACCATCGATCTTTCGTTAGATCAAACGGAATAGAAAATGATAAAAGGACTCACCCTTTTCCAGCCAAATATGCAGGCAAGGTCTAACAGAGTCCACGATTGGTCCAATGCCATCATCTTCGAGCCCCCGCGTCGGTGTTCGTTGTTCCTCTCGCACAGCATTTCTATCGTGTTGACGTTCGTCCCCTGAGAGCTCGCCTCTTCCCAACCTCTCTTCAGCATCAACAATCTGACCAGGTGTCGGACCGTCACCCCTGCCGGACATTTTAAATATCGCGTACTTCGAATCCGTATCGTGTCTTCGTGCTTGGTCTGATCGATGCTCGTCCGGTGTCGTGACCCGACATGGTTCTCCGCTTGCTGATCTTGTCCCTCTTCTTCCGGTTCATCGAGCTCGCACAGACTTAGACTGACGAAGTCGTCCAAGGTTAAATCGAGAGACCCCAAGGGTGGGGTCGAAGGTGGACACTGTGGGTTCACCCGCCGGAAGTGACGCCTTCGGTCGAGTTCAGACCGGAAGAGGCCCGGTACCAGGAGATACACCAGTCGTTGTAGCTTCACGTCCGGCTGGAGAGGCGGAGACGTTGCGACGTTGCACACGGGACACGCTCGGGCACCGCTGCTCAGCCGCCTGACTATGCAACCTCTGCAAACTGAGAGTGCCGTCCGCCTTGTACTTTACGCTCGCGTCGTCTTTTTATGGGTCATCCCACAAGTAATGCAATTCTTCACCGTCGCGAGGCAATGCCATTTTTGCTCGGTGTAATTCAAAGAGAACCGTTTCTACGCGCCGTTGACTAGGTATACAAAATATTCCCGTTACTTATACAATACAATGACTTTTTTTATTCCGTTCCCGACGCGATGAAATGTTGACCATTTTCGAAATCTCGACGGTGGCACGAAAGAATGAAAACGCCCGGCGAAGAGCCACACGCCGATTACTTAGTCACCCTCCTTGAATAAAATTCTCAACTATCCCCGCCAGAAGGGCGGTGGCAAACGTACGGAGTATTTCCACGCGCACGAAGTAGATACAGCCGTTTCAAGTACGGCACATCCACGCGTTCGAATAACATATGACTCTCGCGATCAGACGGTTTTCATTACGCGTTGCATCGTATTACGACCGACCGATGGATCGTCTTCGAACAGCTCGTGAATTTCTTTCCATTGCAAATTAATGGTAATAAGCGGATAACAGGCGATTCGAGCATTGAGCCGCCCGTTTCGATCGATGCGACACGGCACGATAGAATTTTTTATTTATATAGTAGAGAATACTAACAAGAATGCAGGCATTCCACGAGTGTCGTTGCGTCTACAAGGTAGCCCCTGCACAGAGGACACACGATATGCTCGTTCACGTCTTTAACCAGTGGCTTCTCCCTCTCCGTCGCCTCCATGTTGCTATTCGGTTCTGAAACAGCTGTGCCATCCGATTGTTAATCCTCGACTGTCGGATCAGCGATGATTAAAGATCCTTTTAATCGCGATCGACGTAGCGGTATTTCGTCGACAGTGTCATGCAAGCAACATTGTTGCTTCTAAATAATAGAGTTTCACACGATTCGTTTTGTTCCACGATGAGCCTCCTGAGTATCCGATGATTTTTGGGCTTATCAAAAATTAAATCGCGGGGTATTAGTACCGATACCGATGACGCCGATACGCATTCGAATAGGGACGAGAGGATCCCAAAATTACAGGTAGTCGCGCGGCACTACCACCTACGGGGAATTCCCGCAGCTAATCAGTTTAGTATACACGCGACGATTTCCATTTACTGAGACACGTAACCGAAATCGAACCGTCGATATATTTAGAATATCCAATGAAATATCTCGTGGAAATCCGTAGGGAGAAACGAGTTACGCTGGGACTTTAAGGTCTATCTCTTAAAGGGGATGCTTTCTCTTTTCATTCCCTTATTCGCGGCGGGCATACGATAATACGTTCATGTAAACAATTGCCGTACACTATGAATACCTCGTATCGTACACGAGCGTTCGACTAGCTCGAATCGCGCGAGAAAATCGGTCTTCGCGCGAATACAAACTTCAATTCACCTCTATACTGAACGTTCTTCGCGAGCATTCATTAACACGTTTACCGCCAAAGATGCTTTCCGGTCGTTCGAACCTCGTTACAGATCATTCCCCTTCGAGTTCTCCCAGTGCTTGTTCGAATACACACCAAGGAGACGCGGCTGGTCGATCATCGATCGCGAATAAGAATGTTTTGTTCGACGTTATCGGAGTCAGGGATTAAAGAAGTTTTTCTCTTTTTTTTTTTTCACTCCCTTTGTCTCTCTCGGTACAAGAGGCGCGATTATCGAAGCCGAACACGACCCGAACAACGAGGTCCTCGCGTGAAAGGTACTTGACAGTGAAACCAGCCCAGTCACGCGACACTACGTCGACCTGGAAAAACTAGGTTTTTAGAGCTACCGCGAGATCTCCCCGCGCGATAGATACCGTTCCGTTTGGTCCCGTATGAAATCTAGCCCACCGAAGCTTTCCGACTTCTGCGAAAGTGTACTTTAGAAATTAGAGTCAACGAAGTAGATTCGAGCTTTGAGAACATTTCGTGTGTAGCTAGCTGATGAGTACATGGGGGGTATGTGTCACTGCGCATGGCCGGCGAATTGGCCAAAAAGGAAGGCCGACCACCTGCGTTGGGGAATACATATATATACACATATACGTAGGTAGTCGACTACTCGTGTTCAGGCAATTTCGGTTTGGTGAATGATTCGCCAAGGCCGGGCATACGGCGGAGACACGAAAGTGGGGTCACCAGGAATGGCAGGAGAGACGAAGAGGCGACCGAATAGGGGGGGAGGCAGAGGGAGAGGCAGAAGGGTCTCTGGACTCGAACTTGAGAAAGGTCTGGCGCCAAGCGGGCAGAGGCCGAATTGGTTCCTCGCGGAACGGTCCCTCGAGAGGAGTCGCGATCTCAATTTTTCATCGGCCGGACGAACAAGCCCTCGTTCCGATTCCGGTCACGTTCTCTACGTTCGACGATCACGAGACGGTCAGAGAAAGACGGAAAAACTAGCATTCGATTCGCAACGCAATAGAGAGGACAAATATTAAAAAAAAAAAGAAGTAGGGTACTCGACAAAGATAACTCATCAAGTGAACATCGTTACCACGAAAGTACATATACCTCGAGCGTACTTTTTTCAAAATCATTATTGTTTATTCTTAGAAATCTATATAATCGGTGAAGGAAACAATGAACTCGCCAAACGTATATATGCGTATTTCACCCAGCATCCGTTGTTTACAAAACTATGTTCTCCTGTGGCCCCAAGTAAATACCCGTCCTCTCCTACATATATACACACATGCTTTCCTTATTCGTGGCTTGTTTAATCTACGTGTTAGTTCACTATATCATTCGGCGGGTTGTACACGTACCGCGGGAGAACACGGTAGCTATTCCAGGCAATAGGATCCCGCGGATAGCAGATTGCCGCGGCGAGGAGGGTTTCTCCTATCTTCAGGAGAGAATCGCGAAGAGAAGAAGCGTGTAATACTAAGGCTGGTTGGTCGATTCGCGCGGCGACTACCACACGTTTTCAGGGCGGGTATAGAGAGGCGAACCAACTTTGTGTAGGTATAGGTGCTGCTTACCAGCTAAGCGAGAGAGACGGTCGTCGTAGCCAGCGAGCTGCCGTCCCGGCTGGCAGCGGAACGTAGCAGCGGACGTGGCAACGACGGTGTTCTTGGTTGCCGTATCGGTTCTCGCGATGCAGCGACCACGAAGAGGTGGCAACGCCGCTCCGTCCGTCGGAGTGCGGCGCCCCGGGGCTCTCTCTCGCGATAGCGCGCCCGTTGTCGTCGCTCACGCCGTCGCAGTCCTCGCCACGGCCGTTGTCACGAACCCGTGACCGCGAGCAATCCTGATAACTCGCACGCCGCGAGCTACGTACCATCACGTCCCTACTGGCTGCGAGCACAGCGCCGCGCACATGTCCCCCCGTGTCCACGATTTCGACCCGATTCTCTCCTTCTTCCCCCTACCTTTCTTCCTTCCTTCCACTCCGGTACCTTCTCTTCCCTCCTTCCTTCTTCGCCACCTACTTCGTTTTTTTTCCTCTTTTATTCCGTATGCTCGACTCTTTCTATTACGCCGTAACTGCCCGAACTTCGTCGTCACTCCCGTTTACGCGTGCCACGTTCTTCGTCCCGTACTCGCCGTCGTCGTCGTCGACGACGACGTTGTTGTCGATCGACCGGTGGGTAGACAGACGCGCGCGCGCGTTCGCATGCTCACTCGCTCCTTCCTTCTCTTGCCATCGCTCTCTCCGCCCCCTCGCCCCCGCCCCTCCCTTTCGTATACTCTTTCACGGTCTTTGTCGCTCTTTCGCCGCCTCCTTCCTCTTTGAGGACTCTCGTCCCGCAAACTCGACGTTAACGTAACCCGCTCTCTTGGCCGCAACTCGATTCGCTACACTCGGCCGACTCTCGGAACGAGCGCGACGATACCCGATGATATCGTGGATCCAGTGGCGGCGACGGCGCCGGTAACCGGCGAGCAAAGCAAGTGTGCGGCAGCGGTGGCGCCGAACTGCGGCGGCAGCCGTTGCCAGATTTCGATACGGTGCGATTAGAACGACGCTGCACGGAAACGACGGGAAGACACGGGCTCTGCTCCGCGTATCGACCCCGCCTAAACCCCGCCCTCGCTGCGACGGAGCCGCACGAGCGACGCCGAGCGTCGCCGAACGTCGACGAGCCTGGCTCGTTTCCCTTTTCCCCCGAGCCTTGTCCTTTTCCGCGATGTCGACATTTCCTCCTCTCATCCGACTCTCCCTTCGGCCCATCCCCCTCACAGCCGTTCACCCTTCGTACCCCTTTGATCGTCGAGACTCTTCGATCGATTCGCGTTCATTTACGTCACGACTCGATTTGATCGTGCTTTTGATCGTCCATCATAACCACTTGATGTTCTATATCCCTTCACCTGCAACGCCGAAAAACACCGATTTTGTTCAAGAAGATATTTCTTGCATCTTCAAAAGCACCTGGACAATACCTGAGGAACCGTAACCCTTGTATGAATTATACATTACCTTAAAAGACCGAAGAGTATCAATGTTTCTCTATGGAGATCCAGTAGTCAGGGTTTTTGGACCAGTACGCTCACTTACTCTTGCAACCATGTTTCGCAGCAGTGGAACCTTTTCTGTTAGTAGCTAGTTGTCAAGCGGATATATTACAGGTGGTTGCTAGGGTCAGTTTATAAGCAGCCAAATTGTCCGCCACAAAAAGTAGTTTCGCAGGATTAGAAACGTCGTGAAGATCAGACGAGACGTCAATGTACGCGCAGCTAATCAGCGCGAGGAAATAGTTGGGCCGATACTCGAACGTCATCTCACTATATCAATCAGATACATCGAATACGGACGCAGCGCATTGAGCATAAAAAGCAAGTTTCGAGCAGCAGCGTGTTACGAACAGTGTCTTGTCTGCGTCATAATGAAAGTACATAGGGTAGATCGAGGGCAGACCGACAAAAGTAATAGTTAAAGTTTAGAAAGCTAATTATTTATTATAAATTCGTAATTAGTCCACATTTAACTTCAACATTAATATTAACGAAATAAAGAAAACTTAAAAATCCTTCTTTTGCAAACGAAAAACGAGAATTGACAAATATCCGATTCGCCCCAAACGACGAGATCCAGTTAGCCCCATACATAAGGACTTCGAATTGAATAGGATAGATAGACGAATTGTGATATAATGTAGGAAATAAATAGGATTTCCAGTAGATGAAATAAAACACGTAACACATTAATAGTTTAACGTCTCGGTTTGGTTATTTCAAGACTCGACTGTCTAAGCGCATTCTCATCACTCTCACAAAGGCTCCCCCCAACACACACAGGCACACAGAACTCAAGACGCCCAAATTTCGACGACGCAGTCTACAGACTTTCGGCGCCGACATCAATATCTTAGTCTAAACAGTTAATCTCATTCGCTCAGTTCTCAACATTCATCGTATATACAAAACATTCGGTTTACTCTAGCGACCACAGGCAATAATAATCTAAAATATATGAAACACTAAATTTGAACACTATCTAAACTAATGATAATAAACACATTTGAGTTTTCAAGCTTACCTTTTGATGTGAAAATTATAACATTCGCACGCGTTCGTCTCAATGGTAGCATGTGCCAGCACTGAACATCTACGTGAAACAATTGTTGGGTTATTGGATTGGGTGTGGGGGATAAGGATGACGCAATATAAACACTCGAAATGCATAATCCATGAAAATATAAAAAATATGGACTGAATTCTTATTTTGATCCGATTAGCTTCGGTCTACTCTATATCGACACTGTATAAATGTGAAATATGTAGGTATAATGGAAAACTGTTATCGAACTGATGGTCTCGATACTTCCTCTTTTCGTGAATGACTTACCTGTTCATCCTTGATTCGTACTGTACAATTCAAGGTACCGGAAATCGGCATTCTATGTGCACCGACCTAATAAACGCGCTCGATCCATTATGCATACTCCTTGGCCTCTAGTTTCGTAACTTCGATCTGTGTAAGTACCAAAGAAAACAGTGGTCGACGTTCCGCTTCTACCTCCACGCGCGTATAGGCGTTACTCTAGTTTCGACGATAGGTACGTTACGCACATATGCACGCACCGTCTCCCGATAACGTGCCGCGACAACCAGCCGAACCGTATTCGAGAAATATCCCGTATGTAACAGTGCCGCGCGACGACACATCGTGTGCTATTGTAAATTTAAATTGTTCCGCTATTTATAGAACCCGGTAACCGGTTGATCCTGATTGGTCATGTAGCCCCACTTATCGCGACGATACCTGTAGAAACCAGATCTCGCTTGTTTTTCGGATGATTCTTTGGAATTTTCAGGTGCATACATTCGTACTTATATGTACCTACTATTACTAAATGGCGATAACGCTGCCGACTTCAATACACCGATATCATTAGAGGAAGAGAAAGAATTTCGTAAAATCCCAAAGAGCACCCCGAGAGATTTCTTAAATGTAACAATCGCTTAAATTTTCATTCATGAGGACATCTTTAGACGAACATTTACAGAAATGATTTTCCATGGTTGTCATCTTTTCAATCTACAATACAGTTACAATTTGTAGAGAACGGATCACAGAGTTGATTAAAGGGTACGGTGAGCATCATCCGCGTTTCAATTCCTCTGAACAAAGAGATTTCTCCACTCCAAATGCCTATACATTCGTTAAATAACGCACCCAAAAATGAAAATAATGGGGGCAAAATTCTAGTTAATGTTTGCGGCATAACGCGCATACGTATGTATATACATCGTACAGGAAAGAAGCGCCCGATTATGCGCGTATGGGCCGCGACGCTGTGGAATGGTGGGAGAAGGAGAGAGAAGAACGAAGAGCCGACCGATCGATCGGCGACGACGCGATAGTCCGCTTCCGCTTCGTAGCGACCGTCGGGTTGCCTTGAAGAGAGACAATTGGGAGTCGAGCGAACCCGATTTTGCGTCCATCGGGCCTACACGGCTGTCTGGTCGATCGCCACTTAGGGGCGGGCGGTTGGGCATGGCTAAAACCGGTAAAATGGCGCCAGACTCCGACCACTCTGTCCACCTATTCGGTCGTGCGCAGTTGCAGCCCCGCCCGCTAACTGCGCGCGCTGTCTTTGCTGCATTCGTCTTCTCGTCTCGAATCTCTGATATTGAGTATATATCTCGTAATTTCTTTTCTTTCGTTAATTCTTCCCTTTGTAGATGCATGACTACAAGTACAGAATCAGCTGTTTTTATTTCATTTTATATATTTGACTGTAAAATAGCCGCACGACCAGTCCATGGCCGCTAAAAGTAATCTCATCATGGATAGTATGTATTACATAAGGAAGGACGCTTATTTGATGCGTGCAGAAACTGTTGTGACTTTAGGGAAATTTTGAATTGCATTATGTTAGCAGGCCTGATCAATAAGTGCTAATAGGTATATCGTTTGGCAATTCGTATAGGCGCCACATGAAATAAATTAGAAATGTAGTCGTTCGTTTCATACATACATATTTGAACGATTTCTTAACTCTTTAATTTTTCTTTGGATTTGAGGATCACCTGACGAGTATATACTTCTTCTTAACAGATCTCTTGTACCCAGAAATTAGAATTATGTACTTGAGTTTTCGTGCAGTAGGAATAATCTTGTAAGAAAAGAATACGCGCAGTCTACCATTGTAAAATCTAAAATCGAAATTTTAATATGTTAAAAAGTTTTACGATTACGCGACTATCGATTTTACAACAGAATGTACTTTGATGGTGTATTGACCACTACCAAGTATGGAAATTTCATTTTTCTGAATAGTTACAGCAACAATGCGAGTACAACAAAGTTCTTGTTTATATGTTGCAAGTCCACTTTGGTCTTTTGCAATAATACTATTCACTCCTCATTCTCCATGACTTTACATTCCGCGTCCCTGCGCAGTTATCGATTTAAGCGTCGTCCATTTTACTCGCACCATAGCGCCCACTTCCTTTATTCAACGTCTGAATCTTGATTTAAAGCTTTGGCAATGATTCTTTTCCAAATTAACTTTTACTTCAAACTTTTCGTTTAATAACTGATATGCAGTACAATCCAGCGAATACGGGAAATAGGATAATAAAAATGGTCAAAGTAGATATATATATTTGTACAAAATTAGTTCTTTAATAATACGTCTATACATTAAAATCATAAGCAGAATTATTACAACGGTCGCTTATTACAATGGATAATTCAGAAGTACGTCTTGTCTTGCCAATTCGAGCAACATAGGATCGTCGAAGAATTTGTTGATTGATACATCTTCCGAAAGTCCCTTCCGTCTTCGTGTCTTCAACATAAATTCTCTAGCCAAGTGTGTAGCGGGTTGCGGCTCGAGCGGCCGAATTGTGATACTCTTATCCAAAGGATCGCCAGGTACGATCTGCCAATGGTGGAATACGGACAAGCAGAACGCCTGACCTTGCGTGTGCGTTCTCAAATCGGTCTCGAACCCGAAGCTATCAATCGCTGGTATAAATGCCTTAATAGTGTACAAAGGACTTCCAGGAACGGGTGCGTCCTGAGTCACGTGCCCTCTTCTCTTGGCTAACACCGTGTAAACGGCCGACACGCAATCTGCGGGTGCTTGGACTTCGACGAATAAATAGGGTTCCATTAATCTGGGCGTCGCCATCAGAAAGGCGGAATAGGCTACTCTTCTGGCAGTCGGAATGATCTGTCCACCTACAGAAAACGGATTGGATTGCGATCTAGATTTTTATATAGTTAAAGTTACTTACCTCCTCGATGCAGAGGTTCCTGTGCTATCACCGCGTCCAGGATCTTGAACTTTACGTTACGAATCGGCTCCTCGCAAAGTGGACCTTCTCGGGTACCCCACTGAAAACCTTGAATAATCGCATCCCGTGCGCTGTTCAGCAACGTTTTATCTACTTCGGATGGAAGCGTGTCATCGACTAGAATATTAGGACCCGTTGCATCTGGCCCGAACGCCCATATACTTCGAGCAGCTAACAAGTCCCAGTCGTATTTCGTTTGGAAAAACTCTCCCAACCGTTTTCTGTAAATCGTAAAATGGATCGACATCTCAATCTGGTTACAACCTATTATCGGAATGGTCTGATAATATTTGAGATACTCACTTGTTCCATGTAATTTTAACGTGTTCCGCTTCTATATCCTCTGCCAAGCCCCTTTCAAGCGGCTCAGCGATCATCGTCAGCTTGTTACGTTTATTCGGTGTTTCGGCGAAACATTTCAGCGAACTTGTTTCAACCACAGTCTCCGCGAAAGCGACCACTGGATCGGCCACTTTTATATCGATCTCCGAATACATACGACGTAAATCGTGCATGGCGCAATCCAAATATAATTCACCCGTTCCCAGCACCACGTGTTCACCACTTTCCTCAACTCTGGTACCAAGCAGAGGATAACTTTTGTTCACCTTCCTCAAACCATCCAACATCTTTGGTAATTCCGATGGATTAACCGGCTCCACGGCGATTTTGATCACACTCTGTGTGTTGAACTTTAGCGGCCGGAATATGTGCAGATCGTCCGAACTGTTGAGATCCGTTATTGTACTTGTTTTCACGATTGGTCTGTCTATGCCCTCGATGAGAACCCAATTTCCCGCTGGAACTCTATTCAACTCGATCGAATAACGTGCCTCGCTGATCCATAATCTACCCACAGTAAGAATACGCGAGTCTTCCTCGTCCGTGCGGGAATACGCTTCGCCTAATACGCGAACGCGTTGCCCTGCCTCCAGGGTACCGGACATTACTCTTCCGAGGACTACAAACAGCGTACAGTCCTCGGTAGGATACATTTTTGTACTGTGAATCATTAGCCTTCCCTGAAAACATCGTATGTTGATTTAGTGCCATAATTTTTTGATATAGCGAATAATTTGAAAGTACTAACATCCGGATCGCAGTTCACCATGTCCTGCGCGAGAGGCGAGTCTATTGGTCCCGTGTAAACGTGTTGAACTTTTACTGGCGCGTGCGATTGGGGACTAGGAACGTGGGCTACGCACATATCAACTAGCCCACACATATCTCCTAGGAAGCGAGTACAGACGAGCCTCAACAAAGGTCTGATATTCATCTTCATCTCCTCTGACGTTAGTCTGATACCCAATTCATCCAATACTGTAGAATTAAATAGAATAAGTATACCTGAGTAGTCAGTCTGTGGTTTAGAGAGTCATTCGTAATAAATTTACGGACCATCTGGTAAAGTAGTGTCCACATCACCGACAACCTGCGCAAATATCTTGTACAACGGTTCTAAAATAAATTCGATGAAGCTCCGTTGAGCAGTGTTATGCGGTGGTTTCTTGGTGAACTTCCGTGTTTTCGAGTTGAAGTATATGTCACCCCATAATCTTTTTGCAAACTCGTTAGAGTTTAATCTGGGGTGAGTCTTTCCATAGAGGGCCGCGAACGATTTCAAGGTAAAGCAAACATTGTACTCCGAACTCGCGAAGCACACGTTCCCAATCGCGGGTGACACGAAGGAGGGGTTTTCGTTGTCCGAGTAAAGTGCTATTAATCCATTGATCTCCTCGATAATATGTCTCAATTTATAGTACGCGTCTAAGGGGGGCAATTTCAACTCTAGAATGAGTCGGTCTATTTTGTTTATACAGACGGTTAACGCGAGTTTTTCCTGAAGCGCGTGTTTCAATAGACGTTCAGTGTTTAACATAACGCCCTCGGCGGCGTCTACAATCAGTATCGCCCCGTCAGATAAACGTATCGCGGCCGTTGCCTCGTCGGAAAAGTTCACGTGACCCGGTGTATCGAATATATTTAGAAGATAAGACTTGGATTTCACGTCCTGTAACAACAGAGTGACGGGTGTTGCTTTCGTTGATACACCACGCTGTTGTTCCGTGAATAGGGTATCCGTGTACCTGTCGATATGTATGTATATATAGGTTTTTTCTGTGAAAATGAACGATTCGATCACAAATGTGTCTGTAGTCTATTAATATACCTCAAGGGTTTTTCATCTGTTACACTATGCAAATAAGGATGAGTCTGTCTCACTAAACAATCCACTAGAGTAGTTTTGCCATGGTGCAAGTGACCAAGTAAAACCACATTCCTTATTAAATGTGGTGCATCCATCATATCTGCTAAGAACTCTATGCTATATGTTGTTTCTGGAAGTTGTTGTTGTTTGATTTGGAACTTTGGCTTTCTGGTTGGTGCTATCAATGGTTTGTCCAATGGCTGGGCATCTTCTTCTTGCACTAGTGTCTCTACCTGCAATGCATTACTACTATATTGATGATAATTGTGAAAATATGAATGAAAATATATTTGTAGGTAGTAGACTTACCTCTGGTCCATAAACCTCTAATGCACTTGGGTAATATCTTTTGTCTTCGTGTAGTACAACTGCCATAGAATTCCCTTGTTCCGATTGCTCTCTAGACTCATCTTTGTCTTCTTCCATTTCCTCATCAGAGCGTTCCCTGTCCTCTGCATCATCTCCAGCATTCCCATACTCATTTTCATCTTCACTATCAGAGGCCAAGTCAGGACCAATGTAATTCCCAAATTCATCATACAGATCTGCATCCATGATAAGTCTGGTTCTAATTTAAACAACAACTGCGAACATAAAAAATATATATACGAGTTGTGGGGTACAGATATATAACCTTGAAAATCATAGATAACCGGTCATGTATAATGTTATAAAAAGATCGTTAATCATTGCTCAATTCTGTCTGGTATATCGCAACATGTATGAAAGGTGATTACCAATGCCACACACTTACCAGAATCAATATTATTTGCAGCAAACGTTTAATCGACCTTGTTTTCTAATGGATTAATTATGGTTATGATGCATGCATTGTGAAAATTACACTTATGAAAAACAAACACAGTGTGTACGAAGAAAAATCTTTAATTATTACATTCAGAATACAAATTTAGAATCACACCGCAACCTTGTTTACGGATAAGTTACACGTGTATTATTCCGCTTATAGTGTGTATACAAAACTCGTGCAAGTAACAGAATGAAGTGAGTAGAAACCTAAACCAAGTTGCATACCAATGTAATGAATCTATTTCAATGATTTGATTTTATATTGTACAAAGTGATATCCAAACATTATACAATGTGTTGGGCGTATTTAACAAATTCGTACGTTCAGAGATTCTGACAATTCCTATATTCAGAGTTATTTCTTTATTCACATGATCGTCATTCATGTTTTGAAGAGACAAATACTGTTGGTAACACTGGGACGCGTGCTACAATGATTGTAGAATACGCCACCAGAGTAGTTAATGTTGCGCGCATGGCCGTAAAAGTATGCAAGACTATCGTGTACGGCACTTGAGTTAGAGAAGATTACACAAACATACTTTCTACACATAGATACGAATGTTGCCCACAGTGGCCCAGACTGACAGCTGGAAGAACGCGAAGCAGGAGTGGCAGATCATGTAAGGTGAGTCTCCTTTGTTTTGTCCGAGAGTAACTTTATTTGGCACAATGAAAGAACGATGTTAGAATCTGTCAAACGTTACGCGTTACGTCGAAAACTTCTCTTCTAATTCTGCCCTATTAACTGCAATTGACACACCCGCTACATCATAACGCCAAGCATTATATTTCGGTTCTCGAATTTCTGTAAACAAAACTATTAACTCTAACGGTACATCGGTGGTATTCAAACGTTTTCGAGCAACGTGTTGTTAATTTCCGTCAATCTAATCGAGTTAACCCTTTCAGGGCATCTTGGTTAGACAGTGGAAGATCGACGATTTACGAGCAGACATACTGCTAAGAATACATCAGAAGAGTTGACAGAATAGGCAGAAGGAGGAAGAGCAGTGGGGGAGGGGGTGGGAGAACAAAAGGCGGTATGACACGTCCTCCCAATAATGACAACCTTATGACCTTCAAGTTGGTTGTAGTAGGAGATGGAGGTGTTGGGAAAAGTGCTCTCACAATACAGTTCTTTCAAAAGTTATTTGTCACGGACTATGATCCTACCATCGAGGACAGTTATATACAACATACAGAGGTAGACAAACAATGGTGCATTCTAGATGGTAAGTACAATTTTAATGTAAATATATATTTTGCTTCATCGTATTCGATTCATCGTTTCTGTGGTAAATGGTCAGATTGTCTGCTATTTTTTGGCTATGTTTGGTACATTATAATAGACACAAGAAACATTCTTACATGTACAAAGGTTTTCTTGTACCTAACAGTGCTAGATACAGCTGGTCAAGAAGAATTCAGTGCCATGCGTGAACAATATATGCGCAAGGGTGATGGGTTTCTGTTAGTGTATTCCGTCACTGATAAACAGTCCTACGAGAATATCATGAATTTTTATACCCAAATACTTAGGGTGAAGGATAGAGATGTATATCCCATGCTTCTGGTAGCCAATAAAGTCGACTTGGTGCATTTGAGAAAGGTTACAGAGGAACAGGGAAGGGAGTTGGCACATCGTTTGGGTATACCTTACATTGAAACCTCTGCCAAAGATCCGCCATTAAACGTGGACGCAGCATTCCACGAGGTAGGGGCTGACTAGAGTAGAAGGATATAAGACGGAGATTAGTGTTTAGTCGTCACTTCGGCTAGAACAGTTAAGAGGCTTGAATCGTTTTGTCCTAGGTTGTTCGTATTATCAGAAATCAACCTCCGGCCGAATTGGAAAAAAATCGGAGGAAACAGAGACGTTCGGGGAAATGTAATCTTTTGTAAACGGGAAAAATATCAAGGATGTATCGGGGGATGCGCTACAACCACGCATCCCTCGTCCCCGAGGGATCACTTTCATTCGGGAAAGTGAAACACACCTGCCAAAACAAACAAAAGAATGGATCTTCTGTCCTCCATCGTATATAGGTACCTATGACTCGTGAACTTTTTTCTGTTTCCATTCGTCTATTATTTCGTAGCATTAATGAGCGTCGACCGATTGATATCTCGGTCCCGTATATAATAAGTGTACAAAATAGTGACGGTAAGAGTTTCATTGGTCAAAAAAGGATAACAATGCTATCCATCTCCGAGGTGTGACTAGATTTTTTAAAAGAAAACCAATTCAGCATCGGTGTAAGACTCAGAGATGAGCGGCAAAAAAAAAAATAGAATGTAACGAAAGAAATTCATTGGAGATATATTGACTGTTCATCATATTCGATATAACACGAGACCGACGTCTCTGTACGCGCGTACACATCAATTTTCTACCATCGACGAAACTACTATGGAATTGAGCGTTTTTTATTGCACAATGCATACATAATTCTATAGAGAATCTTTTTACTTGTTCGCGTAACGTCTGGTCATGAAATGACTATAATGGTTTCGTATAATCGACTCTGCTCATTTTTTAAGACAGCTGTCGATGATTGTAGCTTTAAGCGTATTATTTTTGTTCGATTCAATTAAGCGCTCCTTGGTCTGGCATTGTTTTGCTGTTGTGATATTTTACAACGAATCGTCGTTACTTCGATTAAGTATTCTGTTCCGTACAGCTTTTTAAATATCTATGAATTTTATTACACCTGAGTAATTTATCGCCCACGTTTTAATGAACTATTTTTTTTTCTTTACTATGCAGTATATAGGAGTGCAGTAAAGTAAAAATGATATAAAATCGAATTTTTCCTTTATTAATGATTGCATTTCTGCTTTATTGGTATTGCCGCATTAGGCATCGGTGCCTAACGAGTGATTAATATTTTGAATCAGGAATAAAGTATTTAAAAAGAGGCAGTGATGTCTCTGTTATTAGATTATTGGTTTTCGTGCATCAGAGGTCTGATGTAAAGTTTCGATTACTTACATTCGAATTTTCAAACATATACGTAAAATTCATTGTAGACGACGAGAGCCGCGTGATTAGTGCATTACTAGATAACTCCGTTTTATTCGAACATTGTGCAATGAGCAGAGTATGTATATTGCTCTTGCAATACGCAAAAAATATACTATTAATTGTCGCGTCGTTTTTTCATATCCAACCGAGTACAACGCGTGGATTTCGATTATGTCAGACCTTTTTATATGTATTAAGAAAATAATGCCATGGCCTACATTAGTATTTAAACGTAACAATGGAAAAAAAAGAATAAAATGAATACTTACGTTTAGGGAGCACTCTGATCCTGAGTGCGCGTGCAAATGACTTGAATGACTCGGTACAGTTATTGGTGAAACGAATAATACTTAGTTCGAGTTATTTATTTAGCGTGCAGAGACTGCACGATAATGCAAGACCGGGAGGCAGTTGACGAATCGCTTCGATTGTTTCGGAGGTTTCAGCGGCAACTCGTGGCTTTTTTTTTTAATTTCCGAACGGCTAACATATTTTCTTTTTAACAACGAAAAGTGTTGTCTCGGAAATACGATCCTTATTTCCTTCGTCGGAGTTCGATCTCGATATCAGAAATTTAGTGTACGCACAAAGTGCTTTTCCTACACGTAGGAACGGTGAGAAATTGAGTAGTGATTTTACAATACGATTCGATACGATACGTAATTTTGTGCACAAAATGTCTTGGCGCAAAAACCGATTAATTCTAACAGTGAAACATATTTGCCTTGAGATAAAAATAATCTGTATTATGAACGGGTGAAGGCTAGCGGAGGAATCTGGGTAGTTGCCATACCGTAAAATATTTGCTCGCGATTTTCATTTCGTAGCGAAACGTTATCGTCGTGTTTTACTATCGGACGAATCGTCTTCGATAGCGTTCCTCGCGATCGAATTACATAGTTTGTCCGGAGCTGCAACGAAGTATTACGAAGTTAAGAAGAATTAAGAGAAAAATATATATCTTATTACTCCACTGACAGTTTCATTTGCCGGCTGGAGGTTCGTACATTTAAGAGCGTGTTACTTCAGCAATTGTACTCGCACACATTCAAAGGAAGCTCAATCAGTAGTTTACAAATTGCACTGCACGTTCGACGAGTGACAATTGTACAAAGTTTACCGAGATATTTATATGATATTACAAGGGCTACGATTACGTTACAATTTCGGTACGAGATGGAGCCACAAACTTGATCGTTATACGGGAAAAAGAGAGGCTGCCTAAGAGGGTAAGAAGATTAATTTCGCGCAGACGAAACGAATCGCTGTGTCCTGAATGTATGCGTTGTGAATTGAAATTTCGTTGATCGTACAATTATTTATTAATGAGTTCTGCACACACTATTTTCGAGAAACAACCATGGTTGTATTACACGTACCTAATGTTCAGTTATTATAAAATCACTGTTTCGTTTAAAGGCCTATGCGTTCACCGGTAGACGTTTCATCGCAAATATTAATAACGTGGACCATCCGTTCAGACCGATCGATCGAAACTTTACCGTGTAACGATAATTGTATCGTCGCAGAGTGTCCCGTAGACACCATTATTAAAATTAATACGCCGTCGTTACGCGCGAACACGTTGTCTATCCCTGTTCGTGTACAGCCATTGTTCTTTTTGTAAATGGATTACATTGGAGCGCGTGCAACAGTTTTCTGCGAGAATTCGTATCCGGATTAGAAGAGATTAAAGCAGCGACTATAGTGGATGCTAATGGAAATCCACGTACGTATCGCGCGAACTTTTATAGAGACTCAGGATATTTTAGCGTTCCTCGCATGTTCGTAATATTGTAATCTGTAACGAAAGCGCTACGTTTTTTATCGCCGTCCATGGAGAGATGATTATGAAAATGTCAGAGAGAAACCCGAAGCTCACCTATGGTCACACACGCAAGTCATGACAATTAGAAACGATCCACGATAATATACCGTATGCACCGAAGCCGCGACGTTCTTTGGCATTGAAACGAGGAGACGAACGAATAGAAGTGAGTTTCGCTGTGATCCGGAGATTTCGTGACGTTAGGCACGCACGCTTTTCGGAAAAATACAAGAAAAAAGAAAACGGAAGATGAAATGGATTATCTGTGAAATAGTCAATACGTCGAATCATTGTGATACCGTGTACGAGGGGATACAATATACATATAGTGAATGCTATAGTTGTGAGAGTCATCGAAATTCAGTTCATTCATACCACAGAGGGACGAGGTCTGTTCATGTTTGATTAAGTATTGGAAGACCGACCAACGCGATATCGTTGAATTAAACACTATCGCTGTCCGATCGTGTAACCGATCGAAATACGGAAATCGGACATACTTTCCACTTACATTTTCCACTCACCCAATGTTTACTACCACCACATGAAAACCACACAGAAACATTGCACTTGTCTGTATAGGTACATATGTACTATATAACTCTTTACGGGAAGAAGACAGAGAACAAATCATATAATGATGCACAGAGAACAATGAAAACAATGCGTAAAATAAGAGAGTAATAAGATTAAAATGGAATACAGCCGTTGCCATCGTTCTTGTCCTATAGATAGCTATAAAAATATATATGTATACATACATACACACATACATATACATATACATATATATATATATATATATATATATATATATATATATATATATATATATATATATATATTTTGAAAAGAAAAACACAAATTCCTCCCCGACGATAGTTATATACATATATTCTATACGAGAGATACCGACATAAAAATACGTTGTGTGACGATAAATGTGTATGCTACGTCAGCGTGTGTATATTTTTTTCGTGAAAGAGTGCGTATAATGTGGGTGCGTGTGTATGCAACGCGAGCGTATCACTAATTGTGCAGGTCACTGTATGGAGAACACAATTGATAATAAATTATAAACACGAGTTTACAAAAAAAAAAAAAAAAAGAAAAAGAACCGAAGAGAAAACAACACAGAGGAGGAAAAAGTTTCTGCTCCATCCTATGTTCTCGACACCAGATCTCGATGTGGCGGCGGCGGCGTTAATTGAGCGGCTCTAAAGAAAGCAATTCGCACGGGAACTTGTATCGGCCGCAAGTTTCGAACGATCAGAAAAAAGTTTAATTACGCCAATAGAGACGCAGCGTGGATTCCAGGTTGGCAATCGGCTCCTCCTCACACCCTAACCGCGAAATTATCCGAAACTCGAGCCGTTTTATGCGGTTTAAGGGGAGCTAATGCCCTCGAAATTGCAAGACCTGGAGCATGCGACGAGTTTTACCTTCCAAACGACGTCGTCTTCACCTATTAAGCGCTTTCAAAAACACTCGCAGCAGTTCTCGGATCGCTTTAATTATCGCTGGTTACGTCGCTTCAATCCGTACGGTCGCGGACCCGCGTGCACGCGCGAGCGCGTCGTTAACTTTTACGTTTTAATGATAATATTCCGTGTAGGTACGGTGACGCTATTTATTTTAATGGAAAACCAGGGCCGCGTACTCGGCCATAACGCGACGTTCTCGTGGGTAATTCACCGCCTCGATGTCCTTTGATAACACCGAGCATCCCGCAATTGCCGATACACGTTCAATCGAGACGCGTTTATTAACATTTATTCCCGTTGAATCGTAAAGCCGATCGATCGGCCACCCTCCCTTTCCCCCGCAGCATATCGCGAAACGAATCGACCTATTGACACGGTGGGCCGATTAATGTAAATCGGGCCATTATACCATTCACTGGCCGACCGAATCGTTGCAGCTGCGTCGAATAGCCCGGCGCTGGTATTGTTCGAAGTCGCTAATATATCCTTTCGCGATATGTGTAAATTTTGGTTATTTTAACGACGATTAATATTACGCGAAAACTTGCGCCGCGCGTTTCATATTTTTCGTTACGAAAAAAAAAAATATAATACCTTGCTGGAACGGAATTGGAGCGAAGCAATTTTCCATACAAACTCCGCAAGGCTTGAAATCTCTTTGGAGACGTTTGCTCCATGCGACAAGTACGAATACCGTTGCTTCTACTGTAATTGGAAGCTGCAATTCCCCTTCCGTTTCCATCGGACCAGTACAGCAAATTACATTTTACATAGATATTGCGTCGGTTCGAATCTAACAAGACGTTTTCGAAAGATCAAAGGATACGTTTGGAGCATCTCTCCATTGAAAGGCAGGCGTACAGGAAAAAAAAATACCGCTCTTTGCCGAGGGGAGTATGCAATTGATTAATAAACGACTCGGTTAAACAAAAGAACCCCGCTGAGCGGTTCGGAGCTGGTCGTTAGCCCAACTTCATGGGTCGCGTGCGAATAACTACGAGACTCGACGCCATTGTCACGGGGAGGGGGCGAGTAAAGCTCACGGTTCGATAGTTTCACGAAGATAAAATGGTAGGCGATCGTTCCTTTGTGACCCCTTCCCCACGGATTGCCGTACTATTTGGAACAGAAAGTTTGACATTCAGGGGTTGAAAGAACGCTGCACACGAGCTATCTATCTTCCACGTGGAACAACCTGCTGGATCTTACTGCCGGATTTTTATCCAGCCCATAGATCTCTTTGCTAAATCCGGAAGGCGTTCGGACCGTTCTCGAGATCCAATCTTCCGCTATTGGCGGCAGTGGAACGAGGTATCGAGTATCGATCAGCGAAGAAAACTACCAGTGAAGACCGTTTACCCGGGTGTATCGTCGTTGAATTTCCCTATGTCAACCGTACCAAGACGATCCGACCACGCTCTTGTCGCATTCGTTCGCGGAAACGTGCATGCTCGCGCGGAACCTAAACCACGGTTGCTTGTCGGAAACCCAGACCCAAGCTATAAACTATGCACGAAACGGGAAAAGACTACCGAGAGAAACACACCGATGTTCCTTTCACTTATACAGAGTGTCATGTAACTGGTCGTACAACCGGATAGGAGGGTGAATCTACGTGAAAAAATAAGTCGAAGATACAGAATAAAAGTTTGTTTATTTTAGACATCGTTCTCGAAAGAATCGACTTTGAAAATTAATCTGAAACATGTGTATTCGTCGTGATAGTAATCAAGTCCTATTCAATTGCGTGCGTATCTAGCACAGTTTCAAAGTTGATTATCTCGCAAACAAAGTCTCAAATGCAACAATTTTATTCCATATTTACGACTTAGTTTTTCATGTAGAATCACCCCTACTCGGTTGCGCCACCAATTACATAACACCCTGTACGTATATCCTTTAGGCGAGTATATACGAAGACATTTACTCGACATCGTTGCTCGAAAACTGGAGAACTTACTTCCGTAGAAGTGCGTTCGTATCACGGGACATTGTTACGTCAGCCGTCGGTAAACTTTACATTTATTTTTCCATGTGAGCGTGCTTCTTCAGCGGGCGATAACGCGTTATCACGGGTATCGTGGCGGGATCTCTAGTTGTCGGTAATCTGGTTCCGTGCAGCGGCCGTTTGCTCGGCTTTTGTTTATATTGTACAGCAATCCATCATATCGCGAGTCGTTCTCTCTGTTACAAACGCCTTATCCGGGATCGGAGCTGACCGCCCATTTTCACGATAAGAGGTATCGTGTTAAAATAAGTGCACGTATATGGTCGCCGATCGCGAATTGGTCTATCGTCGTGTAATTACACTTCAGTTCTCGATTAGAATGCGATCTAAGCCAGAAATGTAGGAACAAGGGGTGGGGGTCTCGGCGAGGGGCTGTTTGTTTACCTGCAAAACGGCGTAACGGGTTGCCGAAGAAGTACGATAGGTCTGGGGACACAGAAGGACAGAGAAAGAGGAAGAATAATATTAGATCTACCGGAAAATTCTGTCCGACAATGTCATTAGAAGTTTCAAAACATATGAACGTGTTTGTTTGAAACATACATGGCTGCCACTTTTTACCATTGTACAGGGTGATTATCGATGGAAATTATACTGTTCGGTAAATATTAATAAATGTATTATTTTCCTTTAATTCAAACACAGACATAACTTTCCGGTAGACCTAATACAAAAAGATAAAAACACAATCGAAAGCCCGCGTCGATTGGTTGAATCGGCAGACGGAGTTTGGGTGTAGGTTGTATTTGTCGGGACCGCTCTCCGCGAGCTTAACGAGAACCGAAGTGCGCGCGCATCTGGTGGAGAATCAGTCGTGTACGGTAGTCGTCAGAGGGCAGGCGCCCCCTTCGCATCTCTCCCCGTCTGGTCCGGCCGGTCCGCAGCGAGGCGCACCGTGTGTCGAGCCGAGCCGAGCCAAGCCGAGTCGGTCAATACTCCGGGCAACGCGGCGGTGAGAGCACACCACGGTCGCCCCGTACTCGTGCACGCCGACCTCGCTTTGCAACAGATTCTTCGTGTTGTATTCCGCGTCACCGAACGCCGCCGTAATTTTCGGGGTTCTCGCGGCGTCGGGCGCCTTCATCGGGGGTGCGGACATCAGAGACAACGCTTCTCCGATCCATCTATATTCCGCCCGGCAGGCTCTATTCGCGAACCAGGACCCCGCTGATGATACGTACCAGGGCGCACGAGCGTATCAGCGGGCAGCACGCATAGTGAGGGCACACGCGGCAGAATTCAACGGTCGCGCGCATCGCAGCATCGTTCTATTCGTATCTTGCATCCGCGTATCGGTGCTCGTGCACATCGTGCGTGCGTGTGTGTCAGTCGTAGAGGCTTGGATTGCATTCACGGGGCCGTGAACGAGAGGCGCCGTGTGCCTTCTCCGCGAAAACGCTCGAAACGATGCGAGTCTGCTCCGTGGGAGAGCCGTAGGGAGCACGAAGGACAGTGTCAGGATACGTTCCGCGGTGGCGAGACGACGCGGGGACACGCGAAACCGCCGCGGGTGCTTCGTTTTTGGACTTTTAACGGTAGTGCGCGTTTCGGATCAGTTCACCGCGGACCAGTGGGTGAATTCGGTGGCTCGAGGAGAGGGCCAGAAGCTGCGTGGGCAATCAATGACGTTCAACGATGCATCCTGAAGCCTGATGGACAGATTCACGATCGTGGTCAACAACTGCCAACTCCGTCTTGCCGGCTTGCTCATGGATACGTGGATATTCTTCTTGTTCGTCGCCATTGCCGGTGAGTCTGCACAATTTATAGTTTGTTGTTGTTTTTTTTTTATTTGTGATTTCGGTGGCTTCGATTCCCCCGATTCTCTCTGCCGATCTCCCATCGAACGTTACTCCGAAATCATCCCATCCCCTCCCCCGCTCTCCCAGTGTACCCTGTAACGTTTCCCCACGGTCTATCGATTCGACGGGGTGCCTCGCAGCGTGACTCGACCCGCGTGCTGTCACACGACGTGTCAATACGCATTACGTATGCACAACAGGCACGTGCGGCACGCTGAGTAAGTGCGTCGTATCTGTGCCATGGTTGAGAGACTCGGTTCATTCAAGAGATCGGAGAGAGAAAGAGAGAGAGGGGAGTAATCGACGCCACTTTCGTTCTTAACTCCGTGGATATTCCATTCCACTTTTGGAGCGTTTCAAGGCTCCGAACTCGCCACGCCGCGCGTCACCGCCGGCCCGAACACTGTTCGAGGAATCAACAAGAGCCGCCGTCTCGTAAGAAAATATTGTCTAACCGCGGCCGCGCGATTTCTCCATCGTTAACGCCGCTGCGAGTTGTCTTTGCCCCGATTTCATTCGGGAGAAATCTTGTTTGCTTTCCGCGTCTCTGTGTTCCCGAGACCTCGTGGGGTAGGCGCCACCGAGTACCTAAAACACGTTTGGATAGTGCACTTTGTCGTGGGGAAGCACGACGGGTATAATGCCAGATGGCTGACAGTCTCAGGCGATGAGCAGAGGGATCAGGGAAAAGTTCTCTTTGTCGTTCTTTTCATCTTTCTTCCTCTTTCGTTTTCCCTCTGCGACAACCCCTCCTTCGTGTTCCCTTTCTCTGTCTCGCTTCCACTCGTGTTCCTCGATCCATCAGTCCCCTGGCACGTTACTACCTTCTATTTCAACACATCGAAGCGGATTCGTCTTCTCTTCGTCTTCCCTTTTGCTCCGTCTATCCTGCTCCCTTTTCTGTGCATCCTTCTTCGTTCTCTTGCCACGTTGACTCTTTCTTCCTCGCAGCCGGTTTTACTTGTAATCCACCATCGTCCCCCGGCTGTCCGTTCTCGTTGTGTATCTCCGGTTCAGTCAGTCACCCACTCGCCCCCCCCTCTTCTGTTAACTTGTTGTACCTACACGAAATGTCCATTTTTCCATTAAACTTCAAAGGACAGCGATACCTTTTCCGACACTCGATTAAAGAAACGGAGCAACCGCTCGTCGACACTCGTTTATAATCGTGGTGACAAACGAGAGACGCTTTGATACAGAGTTTGCCTTTAATCAGGGACGTTTATAATTACTGTGGGGAGGGGGCCATCGATTGACTTTGAAAACCATCCAAGCCTCGATGCAACTTCGTCGCTTTCTCCCGCATTTCTGTCCGTAAATGGCAGCGGCACGATGCTTCTTTTCTGCGTTTACTTAAACTGGAGCTTCCATTAAAAGCCAGATCTTTGATACACTCTGGTGCGCTTTCGAGGATTTCGCGGGAAAAGGGGGCAGTCCCGGGCTGCACATACCCCCGACAAGCGTGCTAGGTTGTCGAGGATAAATACGCATAAATTCCGGGGAACCTGGAAACCGTGGCAAAAAGAAACACATCAGCGGCTGCCAGTATTCAGGTAGAAAAAACTGCCCCGGAAATTTTCAATGGACGTAAACGAGAAATATTCTATTTTCCGCGGGTCTCTTCCGCAGTTTCGTGCGAAAGAAAAAAAAGAAAAACAAGTCCGCAATTTTCATCGTAACGAACGGACGAACGACGACCGTTTTTGCGATCTGAACGATAGAAATTTCACGTTTGCAGAACAATCGAGCGATCTCAATTACACATTTTCACCTCCCCTAGTATCGAACGACCTGGAACTCATTGGATGGAAACACGTTCCACTTGAACGGCAAAGTGCCGTTCGAGTTGATTCTCAACACTCGAAAATAGAACGAAACGGATAAGCAGCTCGTTGATCTGAGTTGTGTGCATCGCGCGGCGATTCCGACACACCATCGGGGAAATATTTTTTCCGGTAGTGCCCTCCTCGCGTCAATCGCACTTCGAGATATGCTTCCGGCTGGTCTTGTGCTTCACTCTTCGATATTAGTTTTCATTCATCAAACGTTCGTGGACTCGTAACGAATCAATTACGGTTGCGCCGCGTTTCTGTACCGGGTTCCAGTCTTCCTCCATTCGCCAGAAGATTGTATCGTGCATTATTCATGGGTTCAACGGAACTATTGTTCGATGCATTTTATTCACGTTCATTCCCTCGTATTTATCTTCTTCATTGTATCCGTTCCATCGTTTTCCGTTCCAAAAGAACGAGACCGTCGTTGTTTTGTGATACAAATTAGCCTACTTTGCGTCCAGGAGACCCGATACTACCATCGATACTACCAGACCCGTCGTACTCTCGGGTGAAATAGATCTATCCGTTTAATCGATCGTTACGCGTGAAGTTTCCCCGTACATCGTCGAACGCGAGGTCTCTCCAAAGTTTCACGATCCATTCGCATCTCTCGAAAACGTCCACCTCCATGTAGCTGGGCCGACTGGTTCTGCTAGCCAGTTTTCGTGCAACGCTCCCTTTCTCTCCCTATCTTTTTCTCACTCTCTCTTTCTCCCTCATTCTGTTTCATTATCCGTACAAGCAATACTTCATACTCGAGTCGGGCACGATCTAGGAATTCTCATTACCTTTTCGTGGCGCGGGCACATTCATCAGGTGTCAAATAAAATTCTCGCGAGTCTTCCTTACTTTAAACTTTAACAAAGATCCGACCTCGAGGTTTGCTGCGTCAGTATGCGTGTTCGTGTGGGATCGCAAGAAGGCGGTTATTTCACTATCGTGGATCGTCGGGATGAATTAAGAAAGTCCGAGGTAGCGCGGAGAGAGCACGGTAATCTGTTATCTTTCTTACCCATTCTAACCCGTCCACCTTGCATCGCCCGTCGACTTTCACTCCCCCGAAACTGAACTTCGCGATAGAGTTCTCTATTGTTCCATATAACCGTCGCCGCCTCGTAATAGTCGCATCAAACTTTAAAGTGCCTGAAATAATTAGGGGCCTCTTCCTAGCTATCTCCGACGCTCAGCCAGGACGAAATCATTTTCTTCTCGTTCCGAGAGACATGCTGGTATGTTGGAACGTTCGCTGCATATATGCTCTTCTTTCGGTTTATATACCCGTTATCACCTGGTATCCTCCAATCTTTGCTGACACCGAATATGTTACCGGAGCAACGCTCGTCGTTATTCCCCCGACCCAGATAGAACCCCTGTAAAAATTACCCGGAAGGGCATGCATAAAAGAAGAAGAAAAAAAAAATATAAACACGGACAAGCTCGATCGACCGTGGCGCGGGTGCGTTGGTGGTCAGGGTCGCCTCCTCTCAAGATTTCACGATACCTATACGTAGTTGGGTCGTCTTGGCAACGAAGTCGCATGATTTCACGGGGTCTCTGATGCTGGGCTACATCGACCGTTGTAACGAGCTTGTAACAGCGAGGAAAAGGGATATGGGAAAGGTACTGCGATGGAGTACATCTATTAATATAATAATAATTATTATTATATCGTACTGTGCTCTTATATTTCAAAGCTGGCAGGGATTATATGCCCGTGGTACGAATCTCCTGAGTCGTATTGAAAATTTATGGGTTCAGCGTAGAGAGTTTGCTGCAAAACTGAACGCAACTCCGGTTAGCACTTGAAACGAGTTACAAACACATTAATGAAATTTATGTGGGTTTGTGGTGTAACGTTTTAAACCGACTGATGATTAAACGATTATTTATTCGGTAGTCTATTATAATGTTTCTGAAACATTTTCGAGGAAATACTACGTTGCGTGTAAAATTCTTTTTCGTCGCAGCAGGTAGACACGTGTAGGTAGGTAAGCCGGAGGGGTTCTAGCCCAGCCAGGAAACCTTGTCGAGACCAACCATACCGTTCTGATCCAGGACGAGTATCGCCTGGAACGCGAAGAGGAGCAGGTGTTCTACGCGATACCCGCTTTGTCCTGTCGCTTTTTATTCTTACCTGGATCCACTTCTGTATGCGAAATCCACCCGCGCTACGATAACACGGGGCAGCTGTTTTATTGTTCGGCGTGGGGGTTCGGGAGAGGATGGAAAAGTTGCTCCTCACTTTTTCCAGTAGGATTGTCGGCGCACGATACCGCGGGGAGCAGTTTTTCCTACGTTTTTATCCACGGACTTTAGGGGAGAAAACGTGTTCTCTTTGCGTGCGTCGTTCCGTAACATGAAATCGAGGAAGAATCCTTTCTGGACATGGCGTACCTGAGCCAAAGCTTTGCTCCGACGAACCCTTTGAATCGGCGAGTAGGACGAGGGGCGGTGAAATCGAGGATACCTGGTTGAACGTGGAAGAAGACCCCGAAAGTCAAATATAATAGTGGGCCTCCCTTTCACCCTTTTCCCCACCCCATCGCGCTTTCTGGCTTTTCCACTTTATTTGAAATCGATCTCCGTTCTCTGGCCACGAGATACCCATATCCGATTCGACGAACGCGAGTCCGCGTATCGAATGGCGAAACGCTTTTTCCATGCTTGTCGTATAAACGTTCAGCTGCCATGTCGACGAGGGGGTGGGCGAGAGGAGATTTTGTTCGGTCGTACCGAACAACCGGCGCACAAAGTTGCCGTTTCGTATGCATTCCTCGAGCTTGTTATCATCGGTTTAAACACGTTCGAATTCGTTTCGTGTCTCACCCTTTCGCTTGATCGAATTAACTCGAGCGTGCACGACGGTGTGTCGGTGTCGTGTGTTCGCTTATCGATTCTCATCTTTTTCTTACGGACTCTTCTCGATTATCGTCACGAACTTGAAATAATCTTATAGGGAGAAATGCTTCAGATCCACGTAAATTCGTTTTAATCCTGGGAAAATTGTGCAGGGCGAATCGTGTTCGCAAATTTTCCGGTGACCACGCAGACGCGATGATTAATGCTTTCGCGATGCGCAACGCTTCAGTGCTGTGTCGTTGAATTCGTCGCA